CAGAGTGCCCTTGGGACACACCTGGCATGCAGGGCCCCAGAAAGTGAACCGTGATGAAAGGTGAGGGACTGGGAATGCTTCTCACAGAAATCTGTGGGCTTTGTCTGGTCCACAACAATACAGAGGCAATTCTCCATTTCACTGATGAATTTTTGTTGGAGCACAACATTTCCGTTTTACCAGCACCGCGGTATATCTGTAACTGCTGTGTACTCTGCTCCTCTCTAAAAGCTCTTGAATAAAACAACAGTGATTTTACTAAACATGCCCCAGGAATCCTCCAGACACATCCCCATGTGGGGCAGGCAAGCAGAGCCTCCACCAGCCTGGGGCTCATCACGGGGCTCTGCCGAGGCTGCTGGGCAGGGGCACTGCCAGGGTGAGAGATGGATGCAGGCAGCAGAACGACTTCCACATTGCTCTCAGCCCTTTCTGGGACTGATGTTTGTTTTCTGTTATTGCCCTTCAGTTGCCCTTTCTGTTGGTTGGCTTAAGGTTATGGTTACAGATTAGTTTGTTTAATACTCTGTTGTTTGCCAATGGCATCTTTCTTCCCAGTTTTCTGCTCTTTGCTAAGCTCCCCTTTGGAGCTCTTCAGCTTTTTAATTATTCACTAAAGTTAAACTGAACTCTTTGGGATTAATTGTGCTTGGTGGTATCTTGTAGGAATGAAATCTTTGCTTCCAAATTAAAAGCTGCAAATGAAGCTTGGTATCTTGAGGGGCACTTTTGACATACAATTTTATCACAGCTCACATGTAAGAATCTGAGAAAATAGACACAAAAATTTTTTAAAACCTTTTACAAACAGAACTTTCATACCCATAAGCATTTAGATTCTCTGCTAAAATCATCACCATTCACTTTCCTAAGTAAGAACTCAGTCCTTTTGCTTGAACTTACAGTCTCTCTTCTGCTTCGTGGGGGACAAGAGTTTGGTTAGGATTGGTAAATGGATAAAGATCTTGCTGCAAAAAAAGAAGTGTCATTATAGCATTAGTTTTACACTGTTCTTTACATAGAAGAAATATATTTGCTGTACCTAGACCATATGCTTAAACCAAACTATTAGAGGTGAAGCAGAAAGCCTGGTACAGAAAGCAACTGTATTCTCAGTGTTTGCTAGTTGAATTAAAAAGAGCACGGTGGCCATGGCTCTCTAATTGTTTTCAAATCCCCAAATGTGGTGCCAAAGTGGTGCCAAACACACAGGAAAAGAAAACTCAGTCCTACAGTTAATAACTATTAAACCCACGTTTGGCTCATCAGGAACAGATGTATTTTTGTTGAACACATTTGAAGGACTGGGTATTTTTGTTTCATGTAATATTTTTGTTTACAGTCCTTAATGTCATGAGTAAAAGATCACTTCTGCCTACTGCTGCTATGGGACATATTTCCCTACTACTCCAGGATAATTAAAAAAAAAAAAAAATTAGTTCTAAGACTTTGTTGACAGTGATAGCCCCTTAGCTGCTAAATCTGCACTCCCATCCATCACTACTCTCAAGAAAAGCAAGCATTAGTTTCTCTGTGACTTATCTAGGTCTTTAGTAGATCAATAGCCCAGCTCAGATGTTTCAGACTCTTCCCTGTTAATTCACATTTATCATTTCATCCAAAGAAGGTAAATTACCTCACAGAGAAGCTGTGTTATCCCCAATAGTGGTTTATAATGTTGCAAAGTCAGCATGACCTACATATCTTATCTCAGCTGGAACGCATTTGTCACTGTCTCCTGTTATGATCATCTGGTAAAACGCCCTAGAAAAGAGGTAAACCTGCAAAATGGCTTCACCACTTTCATTTAATGACCTTTTCTGCTGTGTGCTCCTGCCTCACCTTCAATTCAACTGCTAAATAAAGGGAACTTACTTTTCCCCGTTGATGCTCCATTCCACATTTTTGTCATTAGCATTCCTCAGCAGCCTTTACTGCTGCTCTGGGGAGCTCTTCAGTGGGTGCTGATGCTGAGAACTCACTCATTTATTAAGGTGCTGTGTTAACCCTGGGAAAGGACTGCTGAGTTTAACTGTACATTTGTACAGTGGGCTGCTGGTCACCTGAAGCTTGTCAGGCCCTGGGAGTGTAATGCTCTTAGGAAAAAGGAACGAGAAGCAGGTCACTGACCTGTGAGCTATGACCAGGCTGCTGCAAGAAACGCTGTATGGAACAAGAGTCTGTTGGCATTTGGGACTCATTCCTTTCCAAACTGTAGTAAAGTAGATATTTCGTTATATACATATATATCTATGTATATATATATATATTCAATATATATAAAAACATGTTCTAAAAACTTAATAAATGATATAATGAAAAGAAAATATAAATGTAAATATACTTGACTTCTAAGCAGTCTGATCCAGCTGGTTGCTAAAACAGCGCATTTTTACTCTCTTTCCTTAGATGAGTGGAGCAGCTCTGCCTGGACTGAACTCTGCTCTGCACGGGGGAAATTCTTAGGTCTTTAACTGAGAAATTAGTTGGTGCCATCAAGGAGCTCTGCTTTGTGACCTGAAGAAAAGGTAGATCTGTTTTCAACACAAGTGCTTGATCTTTTCCCAAATGAAAGGAGGAGGGGAGGCCCCTCCAAGGGACCGGCGCCTCGACCGGCTGTGCCCGCCCGGCCGGAGGAGCAGCACGAACCGGGGCTTATCCTTCGGGTGGGGAAGGATCGCCCGACTGGGACGACCTTGGGGACGAGAGCGGGATGTGCTGAGGCGGCCCAGCACAGCAGGGCCTGCCCGGGGCACTGCCCGTGTTCCTGCAGGCCTGGCAATGTGCGGGGAGCGAGCCCAGGGCAGGGACAGCGAGCCCAGGGCAGGGACAGCGAGCCCAGGGCAGGGACAGCGAGCCCAGGGCAGGGACAGCGAGCCCAGGGCAGGGGAGCAGCCCTGGGGGCTGCGGGGAGGGCACCAGCGGGACTGAGCCGGGCTCTTGGGCTCTTGGCCGAGGAGCACAGTGGGACTGTGAGGGGGCAATGGCTGCAAACTGAGAAAAGGGAAGCTCTGGTTGGGGGGGAGGGCAAAAAAACCAGATGCCCAAACTTTAGGACAGGAGCCTGCGGTTCCTAGGGGAGCTCTCGAGAAGAGGTGAGCTCAGCAGTTGCATCTGACTTGAGGGAAATTTTTGTTTTCTCTCCTTGGTAAGGGTGTATTGGGTGTTTCTGAGGAGTTTCTGGGGTGTTTTCACCTCCCTGTTCTCTACGTGGGCTGACTGTAAGTGCTGAAAGGTTACTTCCCTTTCTTTGGAAATCTGCAGGCACAGGATGTTTACTGAGCTGTCCCTGGGGCTTAATTTGTGTTGGGGAAAACCATCAGGGCATTAAAGGTAAGAGTTTCTGTCCACAAACTGCCATAAGGTATCGAGGATAAAAGAATTCTCTGGTTGCATTTTTTTTTCCTGCTTTGTATTTTAAGCACACTGCAGAAAATGTGGAATGTACAGGAAATTAAAGAACAATGAGGCTCCAAGGACTGGAAAAAACCTCAACATATTTCTCCACTGGGAATTTTTCTGGATATTATCCTGTGTTCTGTCTCTTCTGTGAAAGGTACACTGCTCACAAATAGTTTATATGCAAATAGAAGCCATCTCTTAATTTTTTGTGAACTGGCTCCTTGGTCTCTGGTATGTATTTTGTGCAAGTATTTTTACTCCTGCTTTTCTGTCTAAGTGCCTTGCCGTCCTGGAGACAGAACCACGGTGTGCTCGTGCTCTCATTTTAGGGTGTTGCTGTTCCAAAATGAGCACATCAGGAAAGAAAAGATGGAATTTTGCATCTGAAAGCCCCTTGCTATTACTTCTAGGAGTGAAGGGAGGGGACTTGATTTTGTTCTTTTGTTTGGTAAGAAAGAAAATTCCATTTATTTCCACTGAGGCGCACAGCTGTTTACTGGGGAGAAAGGGCAGCAAAACCATTTTTTGTACCACCCAGCCCTGCCACCTCCAAGCCTTGAGCACTGAAAGTCACTGCTGTGCCAGAGTAGTTAAAAGCTTCCTTCTTTCTCAGTCAACACCTTGGAATCACTGGGGATAGGTTTTTTGGACATTTACTTGTTCCCTTGCCTACTGTTGAAGAAACTGTTGATTTTTTTTTTTTTTCCCTAAGGAAGAGAGCTATAGTGGTAACACCACTTGGAAAGAACAAGTAGGGAAAGTTTATGATCTTTTTCTGCCTCTTCTCCTTGTATCATTTTATTAAAGGCTTGGTCTCCTGTAGTTTACTCCCCCTTGTGGGAAAACACTTTTCTCATTAAAAGGGCAAAGAGTAACCAAAAGAATTCCAACAATTTGGGAAAATTTGTAAAAGATCAGGAACTGGTTTAAAATAATGAGTGTTCTCATCCCACATATATAAGATACAGGCACATCACACTGCATCAATAGAAACAAGCAGACTTTTTGCCTAATTCTCGGAGTGTTCTTGAGATTCATTAATTTTAATTAATTTTATAAAGTAGGTGACATTACTGAATTTGAAATACTGCTTTAAATAAGTTTTAAATGTCTTTAGTTTTACATAAGTATGTAGAAAGGAAAATAGAGGTGAGGGAAGTGGGGTGGGCAGAATTTTGGGAATTGGAGGCCTCAATGCTGATTTCCTTCCCAGAGCGGAGTCAGTGCAGAGAAACTCTGGAGTGAACAGTTGTGCTCTGGGCAAGGTCCCCCTCTCGAAAAACTAAGGGCTAGGCTTTCCTGGGTGGGTTATCCAGGTTTGGATAAAGCATACTGTGTGCCAAGTAGCGCTACAGAGTCGCGTACAACAATCTTTTTTGTGATGTTCGTGGTTCATGTCCGTGGTTAATGTTCTGGCTGTGCCTGTCCCTCCCACACCTGCTGGGGACCCATCGCAAGAGTCAGGAAGGAGAGCAGTTCTTAACGAAATGCCGCCACCAGCGTTTTGTGGTTATTACGGGCGAGTCAAGAGCATTAATTTAACGATTCCAGAAATGCTCTTAAATATCTTCTAAAGGGCGCCTCGCGGGGACGTCACGCGCTCCTGGCCCCGCCCAGCCCGAGTCACGTGCAGGGTCGGGTCGCCCTCTGGGCCAATCAGCGGGGACGATTCACCCCGGAAGTTGAACCCGTTCCCCGGCAGCGCCGCGCGTTACCACGGCAACGGCGGCGGGATGGTGGGAGCGGGGCTGGAGAGGGAACGGGAGAGGGAGGGGGATAGGGAGGGAGTGAGATAGGGAGCGAGCGGGACGGGAACGGGGAGAGGGAACGGGATAGGGAGTAGCGGGATAGGGAGAGAGCGGGATGGCGAGGGAACGGGTTAGGGAGAGAGCGGGATGTCGAGGGAGCGAGCGGGACGGCGAGGGAGCGGGATGGCGAGCCTGTCCCCTGTGGCCCGCAGGAGTCCGAGGAGCGGGAGTGGAACAAGCGGGCCGCCCGGCTGCGGGCCGAGCTGGAGCGGGAGCGGCGGCTGGACGAGGCGCTGCGGGCGGTAAGAGCTGCGGGGGCGGCGCTGCAGCCACGCTGGGCAGGCCGAGGAGGGGCGTTCTCTGCCTTTACCTTCCCCGCCAAAGGCGCCCTCCTTTAGCAGGCGTTTACTGACCGGTGTAGCTTGAACTGCGCAGCCCCTGCCTCCCCAGTGTCTGTGCCCAGAGGTGTTACGGCGGGGTTTGTTCTGCTTAGGCGGAGGAGAACAGGAGGCAGAGAGCGCTGCAGCTGGAGCGGGAGCAGAAGCTGGCGGCTGAGATGGCCAGGAGGGACCTCGAGAAGATAAAGGACGAGAAGCTCAGGCAACAAGTCAGAGCCAACAGGTATCGCTGCAGAAACCTCCCGGCTGTATCAAACTGGTTTGGGGAAGTTGTAGCAGAAGTGGAAATGAGTAAGACCTGGAAGGGAAAGTTATTTTGAGGTCAAACTATGATAAAAGTTAATGTTAAGCAAACTTGTTCTCAGTTAGAGAAAAAACTCCGATCCACGAAGTTTTCCTTTTGCATACATGCTTATGTATATATCTATCTGTATGTAATATATGTGTACATGCTCTTGCGCACATCTGTGAGCACACCTGTACAGTTAGATGACAAGCATGCAGAACTGTTGATAGCACATGTAGGAATATAGGTAACTAACTCTTGTTTTAACATTAATTTCTTTTCCTTTTCTACCCTTTAACTAGGGCAGTATTTTTCATCAGTATTTTTCCCCTGAAGTATGGTTGGGTTTTTTAAAATTGTGTTTACCAGTGATGGAAATTTAATTTTTCCCCCCTAGGTACTTGTGATAGGATAATTTTATTTTTTTTTCCCTTTCCAGTCTTGAACTTCGAGAGTTAGAAAGAAAGCTAAAATATGCCTATATGAATAAAGAACGAGATGCACAGATGGCTGAAAAAAAAGCTTTTTACGATGAGAAACTGGTAATTAGCTCGATAGTGAATCCCAGCACCCAAGTCCTGTAACTCTTTGTATGAATTGTGCTGAAAATTTTTCCTTTGAAGCTGACCTTTTTAGCTAACATCATGGTTAGGCATTCAGTGTTATTGAAAATACATTTTGTGCTATGGAGGATTAATTAACCAGTAATAACTAGCTACAAGAGAAAGGTTTACTTTGCCATTTCAGTCAAAGGAGTAGTGAATTAAGCTGTATGACTGGCTGTAGCTGTTATTTTGCTAGATTTGTAGTATTTATCCAAGTTAAAACTAGGATACCCTTTGTACAGTCAGTGCTTAATGCTTACCATGGTGAATCCTTACCTCAGAGTCCAGCTGTTGGAAACATTTATCATTGTTAAACAGATATCTGGATAACTTCAGAAAGAATTGTGAACTTCTGCTGATGCACAGAATAATACTGGTGATCAGGCAGATGATTCTGGCTGTGTTAATGTCTTACACAGAGTTTAGTGTAGGCAGGTAAAGAACATCCTGGAAAGAGAACATTCTCTGCAGTGCAGCCTCATTCCAGTCATTATGCTGATGAGAGCAAGTCCCACTGGTGCTCAAGGCTGCACTTTTAGTGCTCCTCAAGTCAGATCCTGAGGCTTCTCTTCAAGGGTTCCACTGACTGTGCTAAGCTACTGGGCATGTTAAGGCTCTATATTTATAGATTGAGGTGGAAAACTTTCCTTTCTGGGAATGCAGCACAATTCCTCTCCATACTGTGTGCTTTTTCTCTACGTGTTGTAGAAGTGGGAGTAAAAAAGAATCTTGCTTTGCTTTTTTCCCCCCAGAAATGGGAGGATGAAATAGCCCAAGAGATGAAGGAAGAGCATGACCGGTTAATGCAAGAAGAACTTGCTGCAGAAATGAGGCGAAACCAGGAGAAGATAATGTACCATCAGGAACTGGACAAACAGCTGGAGGAACAGGAGAGGAAGAAGCAAAAGGCCTATGAAGAGTTTCTGAGAGAGAAACTCATGATTGATGAGATTGTAAGAAAGATCTATGAAGAAGACCAAATGTTAGTTACTTGGAATTTTTATTACTTGTTAATATAAAACAAAACAACTTCTGTAATTCTGTAGAGGAAGCTAATCTGTATGCATCTATTCCAGACAGACTAAGGGCTGTTTTAGTTTGCCTTGGCCACGTTTTGCTAACAAGAGACTGACTTGGGTGAATTGTCCTGTTGAAGCATCAGAATGCTCCAGTCAGTCTCGTGTCCCTACCTGGCCACCTTGTGCCAGGTCTCTGTTTGCCTGCCTTATGGACAGGGAAGGAGGTTTCTGAGGGCTGTGGCAGGGAGAGTTTAGTGTAAATAAAAAGTTTAGGAGTTGTGTGGACTTCCTTCTCTTCTTTCTCTTTGATGGAGTGTGTGTAAAATGCAGTAGTAGTGAGGACCTGTGTGAACAGTCTGCACTCCTGAAAGATGTTAGACATGAGATTCCCTTCTTGGAGCAGCTCAGTGATAGGTATTTTAAATTTAGGTGTCTAGTTTCTAGCTGAATGTTTAAGGAGAGTCATTTAAATCTCAGTCCCTGGGATATATAAACAGTGAGCATCTGGCCAGTTCAGTGTTACTCCACAGTAACAATAAACTATTTGAACGTTTCTTTTCCGTCTTCTACAGGGAAAAACAACGAAAGTTGGATAAAGTGAGAGAAACTCAGATGTATATTGAAGAATATATAAAAGAACAAGCTATGTGGAGGAGAAAGAAAAAGGAAGAGATGGAAGAAGAAAACAGGAAAATTATGGAGTTTGCCAACATGCAGCGACAAAGGGAAGATGACTGGATGGCTAAAGTTCGAGACACTGAGGAGAAAAAACAGAAAGTTCAAAACATGGTATTAAAAATTGAAATTGCAGGAAAGAATTGTTGTATGTTTTTGTCTTTCATTTAGAAACCGTTCCTTCCTGTAATAGGTGGCCGAGACAATGGAAAGGGAACAACAGAAGCGTCAAGAACAGGAACAAATCCGCCAAGAGCTGTATCTGGAAGAACAAGAGGAAATGGAAAGGAAGAAGGAGATGGTAAGTGCTGGCAGGTAGATAAAGGGGTTTTTTTTTTCATACTTTGGATTTGCTAAGTCTGCAGTGCTATTTGTGACTTGGGGATGTTTTTGAGGGACTCCTTGAGCCCTCTTGGGACTGTTAGCTGTCTCGAAGCAAAAGGCTCAATTCTAACATGGTTTTAGGAGTATTAAATGAACCTGTATTATTTTCAGTTCTGTTCTGGCACAAAGTGTTAATTTCCAGCACTATTTCCTTAAACGTTCCTTAGTCTGACAAGCAGTTTGTACATTAGTTTAGGTTTTGGAGGGACAATTCTGTCCTTTGAGTTTCCTTTTCCATTCCTAATGTATTTATATTTTATTTTCAACCAGGAAGACAAGTGAAGGTTTTGAATACCCTTATATCCCTTTATACATTTATTTAGCTTGTGAAGCAGTAGCTTTCAAGTTCAGGTTTAAGCTAAGGAGGTTAACTGCTTTTTTTCTGTATGTCTATTTGCTTTTCCAGTGGGCTTGCCCACACTCTGTCTTACCTTGCCGTGGGTGACAAAATGTAGCACAGGTAGAGATATCAAACACTGCTATTTTTAGAGAGTTGTTCAGGATGATTGTCTTGTTGAGTCACTTCATGCTAGTGGGGGAAAAAAAAAAATCTCCGTTTGTTTTGGACTTAATTTTGAGAATCTTGTGACATTTGCCAAAACTGGAGAACCTTGTCAGATATGGAATGTTTGCTCCAGTTAGCTATGCTGGAAGTTAACAGCTACAATAAATTTATTCCAAGAAAAATCCGGTAGATTGGCTGCTGATGGGGATCTTTCAAAGTCTGTTCAGTAGCACAGCCTTGTACTAAATTCCCCTTCTAGGCAGAAATTGAGAAGAGAATAAGGCAGCGCCTGGAGCTGAGGCAAATGTACGAGGAGCAGTTTGCCATGAAGGCGGCAGCACAGCGAGCGCTGCGGGAGGAGGAGGAAGCTTTCCGCCAGCAGATGCTGGCCAGGCTGGCAGAGGAGGATCGGCTGGAGGAGCTGAACGCTCAGAAACGCAGGATGAAACAGCTGGAGCACAAAAAGGCCGTGGAAGAAATCCTGGAAGACCGTCGCAAACAGTTCATTGCAGACAAAGTAAGAGTTTCACACACGCCTTGGGTTTGAGCCCCACAGGGTTTCAGGGTGGGAAACTTCTGCTGTCCTGAGGGACGTGGCTGGTGTCACCAGGGAAAGGTGACAAATGTGTGGGGGAAGCAGGCCTTGGATTTGGTTTGATGACAAGAAAAAGTATTTTTTTATAGCCAACTTTTTTTGTAGCTTGAGAGGTTGGGGTCCAACAACATGCCTGGCCCCCTGTGTACCTGACGTGCTCTGCAAACACCTCTCAGGAGCCATGGGAGCAGTGGAACAACTGCTGTCCACTCCCCTGTCCCTGGTCAGCTGCACTGTGTGAGGAGGGGAAGTCACAGCCTTGCTTTTAGATTATGTCTCTTGAATTCTGATCTAAGGAAGAAAAGGTGTAAGCTGGGAACAGGTCATGCAGTTTTCAGACCTTGTTTGTGGGGTATAAATCATGTATGTAATGTGAATTGTGATTTCTACTCATCAGCATGAGAATTCATTTGCTCCTTCATTTGCTCCATTCGTTCTGTTGCTCTTTTTTCCTGGATTAGAGCAGTGGGACAGGAAAAGACTAATTTGTCTGAGAGCCACAAAGGAACCAGAACTAGATGCTTGATCTGCTTTCAGAAGGGCAAACACTTGGATAGCAGACTCAGTCCAGGTTCTGCCATCCAGTCCTCTCTTTTGTCTGAGATTGTTTTCCAGTTACCAATCATGCATTCTTTAAACAAATGTTCCCAAAGTGAACTTAGGAAAACTTGTTTATTGTAGGAGCGGGAAGTTGAAGAAAGAGAGTTAGAGAAGAGAAGACAAGAAAGCATCCGTGCAATTGTTGAAGAGGAGAGGCAGAAACTCCTGAAAGAGCACGCCTGGAAACTGCTGGGTTATCTGCCTCGAGTAAGTGAAGTGTCTTGTAAATGCTTTCAGTGTCTGTCCTGTAAATCAGTTTTCTCTTGGATAGTCCAAGGTGAAGTTGCAGAACTGTGTAAATTCCTGGAGTCTGTGGGTGTCCTTACTGTGTCAGCTCACCTGCACTCACTTCTTACGTTCTGAGTAGGGAAGCTCTTTCCACAAATGCTCTTTGGGCCCGCTGGCAGCACTGACGCCTTGAGCAGGACTTGCTGAAAGCTTCCACAGGGCCTTGCACATCCAGTGCTTGGAATGTGAAACACGAGTTCCACAGCAGGGCTTTTCTGGCTAGAAAGGGGTCCCCCACATCTGACACCCTTTTTCCACCACATTTCTCAGTTGGGATTTTGGGAGCAATTTTGGCTTGTTTGCCCAGTATTCCAAGTAACCATGGAGGAAAGGCCTCCCCTCTGCAGCAGTGCAAGGAACTGCAGTGCTTACAGAGGCATTTCAGAGCTCACTCTGTTCATCCCTGTGTTTTTAACAGTTAGAAGGATGGAAGCAGTTACTGTAATAGGAATAAACTACAACTTATTTTGTATTATGCTTCATAATTGGAAAGCTCTCCTGACAGTACACGAAAGAACAGAGCTGCCATAGGGATGTAAAACTACATTCACAGCAGGGAGGGAATTATCCCACTAGTTAAAGAAATTCTGCAATTCTGGAAAATTTAAACAGAGCAGAGTATAATTTTTATTCAAACATTAATATGATAATCGGTGCAGGAATTTGTAACATTTGGAGTGAGTTGTTCTTTAATGTAGATTAAAGGATAACCGATATGGAAGACATTTGGAATATACTTCTCTGGTTTGAATGTGCTGTTGTAGGAAGCCTTGGCAGTTCAGTGTCCACTGACACCCATGTGCCATGTATGACGTCCTGCTTTGTTCACTGTGTCTGACTTGGGTGCAAAGTGCTACCAAATTCGAAACTTTCGAATATAAATGCAGTTTTTTTCTTTTCTAAATGCTTCAAGGTATGCTCTGTGGGTCATACACATTTTTAGCTGTAAAATTAATTTAGAATTAATTATAAATTTAGATTTCTGGGTTCCCCTGCTTCCCTTCCCAAAAATGTAGTTTTTGATTAGGTTGTCCAGTATCAGTTGATTTCCCAAGTTATTTCTTTGTAGGAGCTAATTCAACACAGCTTAAAGGGCAGACAGAGCCCCAGCCCAGCCAGGGCCTGTTTTCACTGCAGTTTCTTGATTTTGCTAAAGCTGCACCTGCTGTGCTGGGTGTAACCACTTCTGTGAGAAAGAGAATGCAGCTCAGTGTTGTCTTTTGGTAGTGCTTGTGTGTGCAGAGCAGGAGTGGCTCCAGGATAGCACCAGGTACACCACTTTGTAACTCATCTGTTCAAGTTTTGTGATGGTTTTCAGGCTTGAGTTTGGGGTTTGTTTTAAAGGTACCAGGTATTATGGATACAAACTATCCATTCTCTTCCATGGAAAATTGCAGAAATCCATAGAAATCTCTCTATTCTGTTTTACCTTCTAATGTGTGTTTCTTTCCCGTTACTGCAGGGGATAATCAAAGATGAAAATGACATTAACATGCTTGGAGAAGATTTTAGGTTGGCTTTCCAGCAGAGAAGAGGTAATGAATTATCAGAAGAGAGCTGAACCTTTCCCCAGCTCAGCTCCTGCTTTGCCACTAGGTGTCAGCTGATTCCCATGAAAACTTCCATTTGCTGTTAACAGTGAGGAACTCCTTTTTAACACCATTAAAAGTCTCCATCTTAAGACCGAAGTTCTCAGCTGATGAGCAGTTAGTTTTATATAGGTGTGTGCTGCACTTGCATTTTTCATCAATAAACTGTTCTGAGTTCTCAATTCTCCTCAGTTAGTGGTGCAGCAATGGTAGAAATGTTTTCTCCAGCAGTACAGCAGAAACCTAAGCTGCTGTAAATGCACCCATGTATCCCAATATGGACTACAGGATTCTCTTCGTGCACTGGCTCTGGGGGAAGTGGGAAGATTTGGCTGCACTGGCATTACACTACTGTGACCCTAATCCAAATGGAGTTTGTCTCCTCAAAGGGGTAGATCTGAGGTACTTTGGCAGGATCTAAAGCAGAGACGTTCCATGCTGAAGTCAGAACCACTGTTTATACCTTTCAGTGCATAAACTTACTGGTTTTGTGCCATGTTCCTATTCCCATACTCCGAGGGAGGAATCCATTGAAATCACTGAGGTCTGACAGAGGTTCATGGAAGCAGCACAGGCTCGAATTGTTCCTGTTCATTTGTGTACACATGGTGTGCTCAGCTCATCTATCCTTCATCTTTTATCTGGTTCCTGATGACAATGATGACTAGTGCTTGTGGAGCACCTGTGAGTAGTCACAGCCCCTGACTGTACCCCCAGGCAGCAGCTGATGGCCAGGGAAAGGTTTAATATTTTCACCTTGACTAAAGGAGTCTGGCTGGGCAGTGAGGGGCAAGTCTCATGTGTGGTTATGCCAGCCAGGGGGTAAGATGTAATGACTAAAACAAGTTATGATCATTTCTATAAAAGAGCTGTTGGTGCTTAAATTAGATGCCAGACCAACCAGCTTTGAGGGGAGATCTGTTACAGAGAACAGACAAGGCCAATTTTCCAACCACGTGTTTTAAAAAGGACATGACATTTTCTTCTCAACTGTATCACTGGTAATTTATTTCTGTTGCAACAGGGAATTTTCTGAGACTAAATTCTGCTTTCTTTGGACTGAATATTACCATAGACAGGGTATATTTAAAATGCTAAAACAGAGCAAACTGATTAACAAAGTTCACTTGTTGGACTATTCCTTGCACGGTCTGTGCTTCTCTGCTCATTACAGAATGGACAGTTTGGCCTGACACTGCAGTAGAAATTTATATTTCATACATTACAACCCAAGCTATCAGGCTTACAAAAGTTAAACAATTTAAACATAAGCAAAATCAACAAAATCACTGCACTGGGATATACAGTTATTGACTATTAACAAGGATTCATATACAGTCCCAAAATAATGTACCGTCTGAGTTGTCTTTCAAACAGAAGCTGTTTTTTAATGGAATCAATAATTTCCCCACTCAAGAGCTTTCATGAATTCCTCTTCAGTAAAAGAAAGCATCTTGGCAGCTTCAATGTGCATCTTAAAAAAACAAAAAAAACAAAACCCACAATTAGGAGCAGAAGGTAAAAGAGTGTGAGTGACCAACACAAAATCTTGGATAACGGATAGCTGAAAGGGGCTTCAAATCTATAATTTGATTTTTTTTTTTTTTGGGACTGTGGTCTAATGGATGTTCACCTGTTTCAGCTGAAGCTGCTACTCATATTTTTCTGCAAAAATTTATAGTGTAGGGATGTGATAAATTTTATGCTAAACATTGTAAGTTCAGCTCTAGTAAAACAGGACTAGTAGCTTTTCCTAGTTCCTTATATTGCTTTAAAAATATCTGGTGTTTACTGAGGCATGGAAATTCCTGAAAATTTAAGAACTTGTGACCTCTGAAGAACACGTATAAGGAAACTGGTCCACGTTCTCTCAAGCTGATCAATATGTGTATTGATCAAAGCTTAACACTAAAGTTATTCCAACCCAAATCATCCTACTCCTGATATTTAATGTCTTTGGGGAATTTTTCCCCCTCTATCATTCTTCAGGCTCTCTGTGTTTGTGCATCTGAACCTGCCACACAAATCTTACACAAACAGCCCACATCAGGTTTTCCTCATTGATTCAACCAAAGGCCTGTGTCAAGCAGACTTGAAGCCCTTCCCCTGATTGTGGCTGTTGAGCACATGGGACCTTCAGCTGCCCTTCCCTGGTGCCTCCTGCCAGGAGCTGCCAGGGCAGGGGCAGCCCCATCTCCTGCAGGTTCTTCCACTCACAGTCTGTTGGGAAAGGACAACAACAGGATCCCTCTTCTCTGACTAAATGACATTTTTCTGTAAGCCAAGGTAAGTGGCTTCCTCACCTGTCTGCAGTTCTGACACAGCATTTGTAGTTGTTTAAAATTATATTTGGTGCTGCTTTGTGATGTTTGTCTGAGACTCTGGGTTTGGTTCCCAGTCAAACAGAGTGGTGCTGTGACACCATTTCAGTGAATTCACCTTCCAGGGGACAATGAGCTGCCTCAGATACAGAGCATATGCTGAGTGAATACTGTATAGTTTTCCTTCTCAAAATAAACTTGCAGAGCTAGAGGGGCTAAGCCAGCCCTGCTGCTGTTGGGTGAATCCCAGTATCTCCTCAGCATCCTGTTACTGCCAGGAAAATCCTCTTGCACTGGAAATGCATGAGCAGCCTCACTTCCACTTATTCCACTCACCTGTCCTCCTTTGCCCTGTGTTGGGCAGGTATTCCAGATTCAAGGGTGTATTTCCATATTGCAATTCCCAGTTCTTGGGATAAGTGTGTGTATTTTGTTCTCTGAAGTTGCCACTTCATACAGAACTATTCTTCCTCTAGGGGCTCAACAGCTTTGCAAGTGTTTACAAATTGTCTGGTGATCACTGCAGTGCTCAAAGGGTAAATAAATAAAATGTTCCATTTTCTTATCTCTAAGGCCGGCCCTTCTTAAAGGGGGTTCTGCTCAAAAAGCCACCACATGTTGCTTGTTTTAGCTCTCTTACAGCTTTGGTTTGAGAGCACAAAAAGTGCACTGACTTCACCCCCCAGATTAACGACATGAGTTTAGGATTTGGGGGTGACCCACTCTGTGGTGTTCAGATCTGTGCAGACAGCTCTGCAGCCCACAGCTCTGCATGTCTCATGCAACCTCACAAGGGAAACTGATACAAATGATTGCACACAGCCCAAGTATTTGTAAATGAAAGGTTTGATGGAACTAGTAAGTGGAAAATTGTTTGATTTGGGCACCATCTCTTAGTATACAGTCCCTCACTTTAGTGTCCTTTCATGTAAACTCACAGCTTCTTTCAGTTTGCACCATCAGAGCTCATTTGACTGGTCTATGCTGAAAATATATTTTGAGAAATATATTTACCCACTCTGCAATGTCAGAGGTTTTTCTTTTCAAGTAAAACACCCCTCCTTTTGGGAACATCCGGTACAGCTTTACCAAATATGATAGTTAAATACACTTTGAGCTGTATTCCATCTCCAGTATAAATCTACTTCTCACTGTGGCAGCTTTCTATGGAAGCTGCATCACTAATGGTTCAGCATGAACTGGCAGCACTTGTTTTATCACCTCTACTCTCTTCAGTCTCAGCTTCAGCTGCTAAAGACTCTGCCCACCCTTCCATGCCCTGAGGGAGAGGAATGGAGGGGGATGTGAAATGAATGTAGAATCAAAGGACTTTCAGAGCAAAGCTGTGAGTGCAGTGTGGATGGGAACACCCTTGCAGCCAAGGTTACTTCATTGTGTGTGATTCAAAGTATGAAGGATATTCCAGGAATTACCAAAGGATGGAGCTCAACTCCCCTCTTTCAGTTGAGTAAATTCACACCTAGGATAAGTGCTCTGACTTTCAATTTTTTTTTTTTTTTCGTCTGACACACTAGGACATCTGCACCTGGGCACAACTGTACATGTCCAGAACACCTCGGAATATAAATAAAAAGAAACAAATGTTGATAGAGAGGGACACACTTTGAGAACCCTGGAAGAATGCAGGTCTAAAATGCAGTGCTCACTCCTGAGAGGTGGCACTGTTAGAGCTGCTGATCCAACAAATAATGTGTGTGTGTGGGAAACTAAAAAATCTCACCTGCTCAAATGGGTCCTACTGACACAGCACAAAGGGAGCTGCTGTTATTACCTGCACAGTGTTTCTTGAACAAACAGATATCCTCAGTCGGTAACAACCTTTAACCATGATGGGATGCATTCCTAGTTAGGAATGGGGTCAATTCAAAAGCAGACCAGCCTTTTGCTAGAAAACAAAATGTTACCAATAGGCTCTAGGAAAAGTGAGGCTGCTGCTCTCCTGCATTGAAACTTCCCAGTTCTGGGGCTCCAGTTCCAGGATCACCTGACTTGACAACAGACACATTTAGCTAGAAGTTGTTTACTGAAATACACCTGTACTCTGGTCCTTACCTTTTGTCTCTTCAAAATATCAATTAACTTTAACTGCTTTTTAAAACCCGTAATTAGCTCTCCTTTTTGTTTCTGCAGTTTCTTGTTTTCTGTTTTTAATTCTTCAATTGTTTTGAGTTCTTGGTTAGCTACATCCTGCCAAGGGAAGAAAAGGAGAAACGTGTTATTTATGAAAGTGGTGCTTTTGCCAATGAAACCTGGCATTACATAAGAAAGTGACAAACAGTAGCCACGGGTGATATTTCTGAAAATACATGGGATTAATCAAAATATTCCCACATTAAAGCTTGGGAGAAAAGGAAATCTCAAAGATCTTTTTGCCTGTGTATGTATTATGTGTGTATGTGTACTTCCCCCTCTTTCTAAGCACATCTTATTTTCACATAAATGAGGAAAAATCAGAGAGGCTTTAATGTTATTCTGTACATTTCTTGCAGTAGCATCATCCAAGATACCTTACCCAGGCCGTTGGTGACTTGTTCTAAGTTAACTTCGGGACTGCCTGAAAGAGAGATGGTGCTTCCAAAGCTGATGAAGCTTTTTGTCTCACTCTAGCTTTACTGAGTGATCACAGATTGGAAATAGTTTTCCTAAGCCACTGTACCTTGTTGCTCTGCTTCAGTTTGTTCAGCTCCACTTTATACCTTTCCACTTCCTCCAGGGCCCTGTTCAGTCGAACCTCTGTCGCGCTCTGAGTGGCCGTGGCCTGCTTTTGTACCCGCTTCAGGTTCTCCAGTTCCTAAGTAAGAAGCAAAGATAAACACAAACACCATGAATAATGGGTGTTTTAATGAATCCCATTTCAACAACACATTTACAACAAGGCTTACCCTTGAAAGCTGAAGTGTCTGTGGAGTTCTTTGGCCTGCAGATCGAATCTGTCTCAAAGACAATTCTAGCATTAAAACATCCCCTCCTCCTTTGAAATCCTGAAAAAGGATCTTTCTTATCTTGGATTGATCATGGAGCTGATCATGTAAGGCCACAGGACTGACTGAAAAACTTTGTATGCTCAGTCAGAGAAAGAAAATAAATGTCGCCATGTCCCCTCTGTGGCACATTTTGGAACGGTGGCTCGTGTTCCCAGATGCTTCCTCCCACCTGTTCCTTCCTCCTCTTTTCCCCAGAGATTCCTACATGCAATTACCACCAAGAAGTTAAAGCAGCCCAGTGCAGATGGCTGAGGGTAGTAACTATTTCATCTGGCAGAAAAGAGTTCATGGAGTGTTTATGACACCAAGCAAACTCTGCTGACAGTGTTTCATTGTGCTGTAAGTGGGGAAATGAGAAAAAGAGACCAGGTTGAGGAACAGAATAATCAGACTGAAGATCAGGGAATACAGATAGCAGCCAAAGTAAAAGAAATGAGCAATTCTGGCAGAAAGAGCCCATCTTGTCTTTTATGAAAAAGAAGTAGACTTTTTTTTTTAAAGTATCAAATATTTAATAATGGGCACAGAAAGACTTAAGCAAATCAAGGTAGAAAGGGGCCTTGTTGTTAACCTTTTAACTTCAGACTGCCTCAGTAATTGATCTATTTTCTCAATTCCACACCTGCTCTATGGTGGTTACTTAAGACTTCCACATAATTTATCCAAGAAATACATACTAATTGACCTCTTTGTCTTGTATCAAGATGATGGAGATGTGAATAAAATCAAGTAAATCTTTCATGCTATGTATTTTATTCTGCATTAATATGAAAAGCTTTGAAATACAGTCTTTCAAGCATTTAATGACCAAAAAAAATAGTCTGCCTGCAATGCAAATTACTTATCAGCTAATCATATCATTTAATGAAAGAATTCTACGAATTCTCTAAGGGCTTTTTGACATTTACTGTCACACATAATACCTTATCAAGGATTTTTTTTTTGCAAGTCATCCAGTGAGGGTATATTGTTAAATGTATCTGACTCCCAAGTTTTTAATCCTAAAAATACCTGAAACAAGTGTTTTATTTTGTAACTAAGCAAGGTTTCTGCCAATTCTTCAATACTTAAAGTAAAAGCAGGATTAATTTTCTCATATACTGTTTCTCTCAGAGGTAGGGATAAACTCCTATGTTTGAAAACTGCATCCCATTTCAGTTTCTGGATTTTCTCCACCGTTCTGACATGGCTTGAGTGCCAGTAGGGGCTGTGATGGCACAGAGCTCCCCCAGGAGGAGCCCTCCCCGTGGCCTTCTGCCCTTCCAGCAGCAGCATCCACAGCCCTTCTCTCTGTAGGAAGCTCTGCAGCACTTGCCCTCCCCAAAAAACACTGCAGAGAGAACTTTTACTCAACATCAAGCCCTTCTTCAAGGCAAATTATAACCCCCCCTGCACAAAGCTTTAAAAGGAGTAAGAGCACAACTTTGGTGTCCCCCTGACCATTATCTAACAGTATAGCTTGGACTGAATGAATGAGAGAGAGAACACAGAGGAAGGAATGTTCTTGTAGATTGGTGGTAAAAAAAAAGACAGGAAACGTGATAGCATTTATTAGATCAATTAGGTAGGAAAAAAAAAGAGAGGAATGCTGGAAAGCAAAGGATGGAAGTTTCTGGGAGCATCAGAATTCAGCTGCTGACTGAGGTGGGCGTTGCAGCAGAATGTTCACAGAGACCAAAGACCAAAAGTATTCAATGTAAAGATAACAAAGCAGTTACCATGTTTCAGGTGAATTGTGAAAAGCAGGTGAGACTCTTTGCCTAGGCACATACAAAAAAAGGACCTGAGGGATTAAGGACATTGCACAAACTGTTGATAAGGCAGTTTGGGGAAACTTGTATGACAGCCAAAGTCTCCTATCATCTGTGTTGGAACAGAAATCACAACAGAAGCAATAAAGCCCCATAATCAGAGCTTTCATTTGTGCTATCTCAACTACACAGAAAACTTTCTCTGGACTGAAGGTATGAGCCTTGAGAGTTTAGCAGCACAGGAGCACCAGTTCAGGCCTGTGTTCACAGGAAATCGCTTTTAAACATGTCTAGAATTAATCTACACTACGTTAATTATATAGTGATGAATAATACTTCATACCTAAAAATTAGAACAGTTCTCAGATTCCTAAGTCCACAGGAGAATTAAGCAGTTACTGCAAAATTATTTTTGCATGCATGGCTTTTGCAGTTAGATAATTTCTTATAGCAGACAAACATGTAAAGTAACTTCTGAATTAGCAGGGAACCATTCATTACATATACTTGCCTTTTTTGCTGCTTTAGCATTTTAAAGGATTACCACTATTTTTCATGGTGTGGTTGGTAACCTTGATGAATTCTAGAAAGCAATCTGAAAGGAATAATTGGAGCAACTGAGAATGGTAAATCCAGAACAAACACAAGTTCTGGAAGTGACCACATTCTGGATACGGTACCTCTACAGCAGAAATGGATAAACTTTTCATCCCAGCAGACATTTCCTAAATACTTTGTGTGCAAGAACCAGCATATACTGTCTAAGGAAATGCTAGAAATTGCCACCAATTTAAAACTTTTGCTTTAAGAAGGCTTTAAGTGCAGGTCAAACAAACTTGAGTCCAGGGTGGTTTGGATATAACCTGTCCTGTCTTGTTTTAAGAGAAGGGACTAAAAAACGTTGTGAATCTCTTGGCCCTCTGTACTGTGAGCTGATGAGTAGTACGAGTACTACTACTGAATATTTTCCCTGACAGAATCACCATTGGGGCACTTATTTAAGGGAACTTAAAACCTCCAAGTATCTGCACAAAAAGCCCATGAAGACCATTTCAGTTTTAAAATGGCAGAACTACAAAGCATTAAGACACAAGCATGCCTACACAAATGCACAGTGTGATGTAATGAGATTTTGTCAGGCTAAGCTGTGTCCCATTTTGCCCAGATTTTTAAGTGACACATTTTCCTGGTTGTATTGCACGGACTACACAATACTCTGTGTCTTGCATGGTTTTGAAGTCAACCTCTGTAGCTCTGAGCAATTAAAGACAAACACATGCTGCCCTTAAGATTAAGTTCCAAACAAACAGAACTGTGTGTGCAGCACCTGCTGCCCCGGGCACGGACACCACTGTGCCAGGGTGGGGGCAGCAGCAGCCACCTTAACTGGGACTCATCCACGCTGGAGTGGCTGCTTTTCCAACAGCCCGTTTTCCACAACAAAGACACATCCCTTCCTCCACCCGCAGGACATACTAATATGAGCTGCAGGTGCTTTCTAAAAAAATGTTCACTAGGTTCTACAGTTTACAATAAAACTCTTGTTACAGAAGTAATTTTTTAACAGTCATAATTAAAACCAGAAAAATAGAATTTCCTTGTATTTTTTAGGATTCCTTTGTGAATTTGACAGCAGTTTCTGAAAAGGTTGCTTTGTCTCTTGTGGGTCTTTTATACAGGAATTTAATTTTAAAATACAGGAATATGTGATTGTAGAAGCAGAAGAAAAGCAGTTAGCAACATATATTATTTCTTCCTTTTAAAAAATAGATTAGACCATTTAAAAACACAATTTCTAAAACTTCTAAGAGAGATTCAAACACTGCTGGGATCACTCGTATCAAACCAGGGTACAAAGTGTGATTTGATGTGGGGTTTGTTCCCTCTTGTGACATAAATGAGAGTAATATCTTCAATACCTTTTCTAGTGCAGTGACTTCTTGTTGTAAGCCTTCACTTTTTCTGTTTGCTTCTTGTGACAGCATCCTGTACCTCTCAGCCTGGTTCTGCTGCACACTCATCATTCGCTGCAGTCTTGTGTTTTCTTCTTCCGTATCTTTAAGCCGAGTTTCTAAATTCTGATTTTGATCGTCCTGTTTGGCAGTAATTAGCAAAAAAAACCCAACCCAAAACAACTAAATCATTGCAAGGAAGCAGGAGGATAATGCAGTAATAATGTCTTGTAAATAAAAAGGCAGTAAAAATATACACACTGTAGAGATAAGGTTTTAAAAATTACATGGCAACAACTAAGAAAACAAACCAGTATTTTACCAGCGTAATACTTCAAAAAAACAGTAACACTTCTCTCATTAAATTTTCTACAGTCTTTTACTTGAAACTCTCTTGTAACAATATGTAAAACATTTAATTTCTTATAGCTCAGAGGTTCTGAGAAGTATGGAGTGTTATGGAGTAATATGAATAACAGTGGGACACAGATATTTTGTGACATTTTTGTGAGAATAGTTAAATGCACACATTAGGAAAAATTATGGGCAAAAGAAGAGAAAATAATTACTGATAAACCAATCCATTATGTTTTAGGAGATTATCTGGTTTTGACTTAAAAGCAAGCTAATGATCCAGGATACATCAAGTATTCAAATTTAAGATTCTCTTAACATCAAGTGAATCCTGTATTAGATTCATGACCTACTGGCAATTACATCCCACATTAAGCATTATAATTCAAGGCATTTTTTCTTTTATAACCCTTCAAACTTTGTAAGGGAATACTATTGTAGGTTATTTCAGAGACACATTATGCCCTTCATTTCTTTACTAAAAAGAAATTACGGCACACACAGAAATGGAGTCTCTGTGAAAACAAGTCCCTCCCTGTTGTTTTCTCAGCCCCTTGGAATACAAACTTCTCACCTGGGCAATCTTTGTGCCTTATCTAAGCTTCCCGTGACCACCTGCACCTCAGAAACTCTCACTTCTTTCCATTTAAAACAGGTTTACTCCTTCCTTTTAACAACTGGACTGTGAATTGGAACCAAACCCAGAATCTACCTCAAGGCTTTGCCTAATTGAAATTGTTGTGACCTTGTGAATGTAATAAAGTTATTTTCACACTAGTACCCAGAATGATATATTTACACACAGAGTGCTATGGGAGCAGCACAAGAATAGGTACAAGGTTGTCTTCTATCATCTGCTACAGTAACTGAAGTCTGTAGTGGTTTTGGCATGGAATGATGAAGGTCAACAGCCACTGACAGTATTGCATTTGATTTGAAAATGGAAATGTCTTTAAAATCAAATGTAACAACTTCCTTCTGATCACAGCAGAAAAGTATTGAAATGCAGAAGCACCTGTGTTGATAAAAATGAAATAAAGTACAGATATAAAATATCAAAATCTAATTAATGCTAAAGATTTTCTTCCCGTATTTATCTCAAAAAACTCATTTAGTATCATCCTGCTCCTTAAATCTAAATTAAAAGCTTGAGAGAAAACATATAAGTGTTTTGCCATATGTTCTGAATGTCATCATCACATCTGGGCCTGAGGAATAGGTGGAGAAAAGCATTCTGAAGTCAAGAGATGACACGTAAATAATCCAGGTTGAAAGTTAGTTCAAAGCCCTTGCTTGATTACAAGTGCATGAATCAGAGGGGATCCCTCTGGCAGACAAATACAAGCTATTTAAGGTTTTACAGTTCAAGAGATGTTTGAGCATCACTTGAAAATAGATTGCCAGACAGTGCAGGTCATAAAACTCCAACAGTGAAATATCAGTGTACCTTCACTATGCCTTAATTTCAGACTGATCTGCCCAAATACGTAATTCCAAATATTGTCCTCTGCACCAACTCCTGAGAACCCTGAAAGCCGAATTGCTGCTTTGATTACAACATTCCATTTAAAGTGGATCCACAGATCAGCTGTTTCCACACTTCTATCCACTGATGACCCCAAAAGCACCCAACTATATTCCTCAAGCTTTTCTGTTTCTCACTCTGCCCTGAACATCCCTCCCATCCCATCACCTGGCTCTGGGCACCACTTCTCTTTCTGCACTCCCAAATCTGTATTTCACTGCTACTGTTTCCTCCTCCTTTTTTCTCAAGCTCTGGTAATACTGCCAGTGGTGGTTTGGGCACTCTGCACCAGTGTTCCTGCAGCTGGGGCAAGTCTTCATTCCCAGTGGAATGAAGCTTTTAGCCCAAGATCACATTTATACAGAAATTACCATCCTTGATATTAAATTCTTAGTATATTTTAAAAAAAAAATAGAACCTTAGCTCTTAATACTTGAAAAGGAAAGGTTGAGAGAATTCTGTTTTATGATTATTTGCTGAAGGGGAACCTACTCCATTTCTGTAGATAAGAAAATCCAGCTCTTACCTTTTTCCTGCATTCAAACACTACATTTGCCAGGTCTTCCTGTGTGACACGTAACTTTGCCTTAAGAAATCTGATTTGAGCTTCTGTGAACATAAAAAGTTACATTTAATATCCACAAGTACTCATTATTCAGTGCAGAAGAGAAGCAAGGCTGATGTTAGAACTCACTTTCATGTTCTTATTTTTAGAAACACTCGACATTGTTTGCAATTATTAAAGAGAAACAGGCAAATAAACCCTGAGATTTCTAAAAAGATTTTGCAGGTTTCTCATCAGGCAAAGCTTTGTATAGATTTTTTCTTTTAATGACTAAACTTGACATCTTTAAAAGGTAAACGATGCATAATTCTCAAAATTGAAACTTACTGAAAACTTGCATCATACTGGCTGTACCTTACAGCATTCCTTGAGTCTGAAGTCAAGAAAACTGTATTGTAGGGCATGTCTTCCCTGCAGTCCATCTGTAGCTGCAACTTGGGTAGTTACAGCCAAAGTAATTTTAAACTGAGCACAACAAGAATTCAGTGTTGACTGAAAAGCCCTCTAATAGGTAAACACCCCTCCCACACAGCTGTCTATGCTTTCTTAAAGTACAGTATTTAAAATTAAAGCCATTTAGTCAGGTGTTTTCTCCAAATGAAGTACTTTCTTGCTCTTGGGCAGCTAGAAATGGACTGCTATGACAAAACAAGCTGTGTGTGAACAGTTTGTTCTTTCACTTCCTATTCCCCAGATCATTCACAAGGAACTCTCCCTGAACTTCCACAGGCATGAACTATGGGAACAGTTTGAGGATCAAGTTGAGCAACACAGGAATAACCATTAGTCACAGTAGTTATAAGGGGAAAAGAATAAAGTGGAGGAGGAGTATCTGGAGCAGAGTGGATGGGTACATGTGTTCATGCGCTGTAACAGTTCTTTTAATGTCACCCACCTTCCCTTATGAACTGTCAATTGCAGCTTAAGCTGTAATTCTGCAGAGGCCAATAATAAGTAGGATTTAGGGAAAACACCATGAAAAAACAAGATGCAGGCTGATTTTTATTGCTCCTGTTATACCCTTGCCAGCTTCTGGTAACTGGTGGCTCTCGAGATGGAGACCATATCGAAGCCCTTACATTTAATCCCCTCTCAGGTACTTCTATACTATCAAGTTGTTTGATTTTCTTCATAAGACGTACTATAGTTTGGCATTCACAATATCCTGTGGCTAATTTAATTGTGCATTATGTGAAGGAGAAACACTTTGTATAGCTTGCTTTAAATCCAATTTAATGTGGCATTTACTAGTGTCTGCATTACAGAGAGACAGCTTTCCCTTTACCATTACTGTTTTTGTTACAGATCTTTCATAATGCCTTTAATTGTTTTGTTTTCAAACTGAAGATTCAAATTCAAGCTGTTCCACACTTCTAATTGCCTCTGTACACTCTCAGCTGTATCTCTGCTGGTTCTACATCCTGGATTTGAGATGGGGTGTGCAGAACTGTGTTCCATACTCAACAAGGGGCAGCATCCACTATAGAACAGCAGCATGGTGACAGAACAGTGTTTTGGTTTTGCCATCTTCTGAAAGATTTCTAACAGTTACTTTGCCTTTTCCACTGTGACCAGGCAGTAAGTTTATGCTTTTGGAAATGTCTTAATTAGCCATAGCAGGTGTAACTGGAGTTATGTCACAGGTGTATTTATTGTGAAGTTGGTGTAATTGGAGACTTGTGTTTTCTCACAGTGTTACTTTGCACTCTTTAGTGCACAATATAAACTTGCACTCTGTCACCTCATTCAGTACCGTGGGATTATGGTGCAATACTTGAACATCAGTTTTAACTATTCTAAAATCAGTTTCATACATAAATTTCTTTCCCAGCTATCGTTTAGCCGTTGTCATAGTTCTGATTTCAGCAAGGAATTTTTCTTTCCCTTCCCCCCTGTGTGTGTGCTCTGTGGGTGAGCCATCAGGTGAACAAAAGAATCGGCCTGGTCACTAATGGCCAGGAGATTAGTCTCCTAGCAATGAAGGGGGAGGAGTTGGGGAGGGCTACTGGGGTGTGTGACTGGAAGGGGGTGGAGGCTGGGGGGGAGCTCGGTCTCTCTGCTGGGAGGGGAGCAGCTGCGGGCTGCAGACACTGCGGGGGTTTCTTTGTCTCTTTCCTGTCGGAGGGGAGTTTTTGCTGCTGCTCTCAGCTCAGCTGTTGCTGGCTGCAGACCCTGCTTACAACGGACCCTAATCAGCTGAAGTTCGTGAGTTTTCTTCCATTGGGAGAACTTTCTGGTTTATTGCTGTTGTTTTTCCCTTCTCCTTCTCCCTCCCCCCCACCTGGTGGCAGCCAAGGATCTCACAGCGCCGCCTGGTGACGGGCACTGGACATTACAAGTTCTACTCCTCCAGTGATCCAACAGCGCCACCTGGTGACTACTATAGGACACTACAAGTTCTGCACCTTCAGTAACCCAACAGCACCACCTGGTGAATGGTACAGGACATTACAAATTTTGCATCTCCAGGGACCCAACGGCGCCTCCTGCTGACTGTGGCTGGAACTGCACCAAAGGGTGCTAAAAATTGAACTATTTAAATTTTCTTTTTGCCGGTTTATCAGTTTTGTTCTGGAAGGGGATTATTGGTGGGTATAGGAGTATTGTTTAGTTGTTTTACTTGGTTTTTTTTTCATGTTCCTGTTAATACACACATACCTTTTAATAAAGGGCTGTTATTTTTTTGTTTTCCCTTTTCCATAATTTGTTTTCCTTCAGTTGGAGCCTCTTAATTTCGGATTTATAATTGCTTAGAAAAAGAAGTTTGGGTCTTTTCCTCCTAATCCATCCTCAGCAAAAGACCCTTGTCCCATTTAAACTGGGACACCGTTGTGAACAATGTAAGCTCCATGACAGATCACTTGAGGGCTATACCACTACCTGTAAAAACTGCTGCTTTTTACCATTTTGTTTCCTCTTTTCCTCAGCTATTAGCCCACAGACAACTTCTGTCTTAGTCAGCTGTGTGTCATCAAGAGCACTAAGTAGTAAAACCTGTGAAAATTAGAACCAGATCAGTTTTGGGAGGTGCCTGTGATCCAAATAACCTTGAATTCTCACAAGAGGTAAAGATAATTAAACAATTAGCTTCCTAACTGGTCAATTTTAGTCACCTGATGAAGCTGATAAGAGGGAGGAGTATCTCCTTATGGGATGGTGTTAGGTTATAAAGTAACCAATAACTTAGGGAATGGTAAACAAGGGAAGGATGTCTGAGAGACGCTGATACCCTACAAGAAAGAATGGACTGCTTGAATTCCTGAGATAATCTGAAGATTAACATGAAGTGCAATAATACATTCAACTATTTTGTTCCTATGTATGGGGATATATTAGATAAAAATAGAGCTTCATCTTCAGCCTTCTGTGTGTTTGTGTGCTTCTGCCATTGCTTGTTACTGCAGGGTTGAGTTATAACCCCCAAAAACAGTCCCTGAGAAAAATAACCTGTAAGCTACTGTGTTGGCAGAAAAATGGCTGCACTGTGGCAACCTGTAATCATGAAATAAAGACATGGAAGCCAAGCCCAGGAAGAGCAGTGCAAGAAGCTCAGGGAAAGGACAACGCTCTGGAACCTTATCAGCTCACTGGCCTAAGGAGCCAAGCAAAGGCACGATGGCCTAAGGAATCTCTTAGGGGAGATTCCCTGAGGGATCAGCCCTCTCTGCAACAGGACCTGCTTAATACCTACATCTGTTCCTTGTGAACACCATAACTGTTCTGTGAGCCTGACAGTGCTGGAATGCTCTGCAATAGCCTATTTAGTATATTAAGGAGGCATTCAGAGTTCTAAACAGCCAATATCACATGTAAAAAGCAAAAATCGACTCAGAGTATTTTCATTTCATCATTAAAGGTACAGGAAGAACTCTCAATACTCAAATATATGGGCTTGGTCAGCGAGACCTGATTGCTTGGCACCAGTAATAACTCTTCTTGAGTTACCTTGAATTAATCTGGTGTAAGCTTCCAGTGCAAGCCAAAGCAATTTTTTTTGTAGTTCAAGGAGAAAGAACTATAAAAAAGACAGCTGAGGGTGTGTATGGGGAGACTTGGTAATTGCAGATGTGCTCAGAATTACATGAGGTTAGAAGCCTAACTATTCCTGTGTTGGAATTCTGTAGATATCAAGCTGTTGGATTAAAAGAAGAGGGCTCAGGCACTTTGTGGTACTGTGGTGAATCTCTGACTTCACGCTGTAAGGAACTACACAGGCTCACTTTTATCACACCAGAGCCAAAAAGACAGATGCACATTGTTCCTTTAGCCTCCCTGGCAAATATATCAATCCCCTTTCCTGCTCTGTTTCTAGGACAGACATAAACACACCATTTGGAGTGGGAAAGGATCTGGAGGCCTCTCATCCTGGCACTGTAGCTGAAACATTACCTTGTTTAAGCCACTCGCTAAGATCCACAGCACTGGTCTGAGGAAAGGCTTTTTCCTCCAAAGGCACAGTCTGGGCAAGGCCTGAAGTTCATCTTTTTGGAAACACAAACATCATGTACTTCTGTTTCCCCAGTGAAATGAATCAAATGTTATGCACATATTCAACACATGTAACCATCCAAACATCTCCCTACAAAGGTGGAAATAAAGATAAGAATTCACTTTTTCACAGAAGTTCCACATTGATATGAGATCTGAGCTTCCTTTAGGACTATGCAAAGAAGAAAAACCTTCTTTCCCATTTAATTTTAACTTAAGGGCTTTAGAATTTTCCCTGTAATTTTTACAGAAACTCATTTTTTTTCCCCAGGAAAACCCATTTCGAACAGTCACAAAGAATAAAAGAACTAACCATGGAAGGAAAACTTACCTGCTCCCATTTCATTTCCAGCAGTTGGAATAATATCATCATCTGGACAATCTGGTAAGACTCCTTTCTTTAGTTTTTCTTCAACTTTGCTTATTGTTTTTGTTAAAGAAAAACCTATGCAATCTTCCAGTACTGCAACACCATCAGCGCTTTGCACTTCCATGTTTCTTGGTTTTGAACTAAAAAAAGATAACCCTAGATTTTAAATTTAGAATACAAAAAAAAAAATTAACAAAAATCTAATGTGCTTGCTATTTTTAAGAGTGTACAGTTATTTACCCAATGCAATGTCATTACTTGCATTCACATGAAAGATGCACTGATGGCAATTTCTCACTTTGTTCTTGTGAATCTCACCTTTAACACATTCCACATAAACAAATGACAGGATTTTACCTACTGTAATGTAGAAGGCAAAGAAATCACTACCATTTTCTACTGTGAAGATTGTGGTATGGTCTTCTCATGCAACAAATTCATAACTAGATCAGAGTAAAAGAAAGAAACAGAGGAATGTTCTACTGGCTTTACATACCATCCTGTTTTAATTTCTCCTATTTCTCCCCTCCCAAGTCAATTTGTAGAACTCTGTCCTCTGTGGCTCTACTCCTACTTTGCTGCAATTTCTGCATCCTGATGCCTGGCCTAAGGAACATCCCTGGTCCTGGTAGCTGCATATCAAAGTTTTCATAAAACCAAAACACAAGTTAACACATCACCTTCACAGGGTATCTCCTCAGTTTTCTTTTATGCAAAGGTTACATTAGTTCTCCCAGGATCAGAAGCTCCTAAGTTATTATTCTAATACATCCTCATCCCAGTGAAGCCTCCAAACTCCTCTGAGCTCCCAACGTTTCTCCCACAACTCTGGGTTCACTTCACAGGGTCTGTATCTGCACAGTTGCACTCCAGCTCTCATGAAGTACCTGTGACAGCCCTGCCTTGACCTGCCCAAGGGAGGTCCCGAGGTCTACACTGACTTCCAAGTCCTGAAGGACAACCTTGGCCTCTGTCAGGTCCATGTTCTGCCACCTTGCAGTCAATTTTCAGCCTGGTTTGGTATTATGCCATATCTTGTGGCAGTTCACATTTGCTCCCAAGGATCTCGTGCATTTCTCAACTCTTCTCCCTCAGCCAGATCTCTATTTCTTGGTTTTACAGCCTTGACTTTATAACCTGTAGAACTGAAGCTTCTCAGCCTAAAGGCCCTGAAAGCTGTGGTACCTTTACTGACCCTCTGCTGTCCTGTGAGCCCAAGGTCACCCAGAGCAGAGGAGTAACCCCTGAGGGCCTCCTGTTTCCCACAGACCTAAGGCTGCTCTCTCAGGTTGCCTCAGGTGCTGCCTTTCTGTATTCCTGCCTTGCCAGCTCCCTGGGCCTCCTTCCACTGCAGGGGTTTACAGAGCTGAGCTGTCAGACTTGAGAGGGGATGGAGCAGAAAGCAGCAGTTTCACTGTTGTAATATTAATGACAGATGTTTACTGATAATTCCTGGTGCAAGTAAACAGAGACAGCCACATGGTGGAGCTGACTGAGGAGGACCAAAAGTTTGATACATTTATTTATACAAATATAGAAGCATACATGAATAAAATAACCTGATAGACAAAAATAGCAACTAGAAGATTTTAGAAAACCAAAAGAGATGTCTGATGTACCTTGAAGTTGTTCTTTTTCCCTTACTTCCAGAGTACTGCCTGTTCTGATCTGTGGGTGCAGCAGCACATTTCTTCTTGCTTGCTACCTACAAATTTTTTCAGAAAGGAGTGATTTATTTTTTTTAATTTTATAGGAATTAATTTTTTCTAGTGTGGATTTCTTTTTGTGGTTTCTTTTTCTTTCTTTATCATATATCCAGAATCAAGGATATTTTTCAAAGGGTGCTTTTCAGACTTTAAAAAGAACAATTTTTCAGTCTTATTTGCACTCATCTTTATCTTGTAATTTTTATGTCTTTATGCCCTAATTGTCATATATGCAGTAGTCATTGGCTTGTTTTTGCACACATACTCAGAATAAACCTATGCACAAGCAAGGCTCTGAGCTGTTATCAAGGTATTAATTACTGCACTGTCATCAGAGTGCATTTTTTGGAAAAATGCTTATCATGCATAAAATACTATATTTTTTTCAGGTATTATTTTCATTCCCTGTAGAAGAAAGTTCTAACAATATTTCTGTTAATTTCCCCCAAATATCCTTCAAAAATTAGAGGTGTTTCTACTGCATTCTGATAAACACTGCAGATGGTGTTTTGGAAGCTTTAGCTCACCTCCTAAAAGATTCAATATAGTTGTAATTACAGACTATTGAGTTTGTTCCTAATCTCAATCTCATTTTTCCATTGTTTCCTATTACATCTAGAAGATACTTATACTGCCTTTACTATTATACAGCTGAGGGAGGGAGAGGAATAAAGCAGGAAAATAATTATGTTCTAATATTCTGCACTTGGAATTCTTAATTTGACGTTCTAAACACTGAACACTTCCATCAAGACTTTATAGAAGAGGAAACTTGGAATACAATAATTAAAGTCCATGATGTAAGTCCACTTAAGCACCATTGGCACTGAGAAACAAACCCTGGTAACACCGTGCCTGTGGCACTGCTTTGGGCACCACCTCCTTTTGGCCTCCCACTTGTGGAAGTCCCGAGTGTAGCACAGCCTAAAAACCAAAAATTCTATGTGGAAACTAGACTAGAATAAAATTTAAGCAGGATACTTTTGACTTTGATACCTTGGCATGGGAGTGTGTAGGAGATGAAACTTCAGGACTGAAGTGGAAGAGTGGATCTCTGCAAAAAAAGAGAAAATTTAAAAAATAAAAATTCACTGAACATCTGTAATTAAATAAACACTTCACAACTGAAATTCAATCCCTCTGTTGGAATAAGGAGAATAACATTTTACATGTCCAGAATAAACAATATAGCTAAGGTAGGAACATATCCTAAATTCAAGCATAAATTCAGTCTCATTCTGTCTTTCCATTCTACCTCATTTGCCCCCTAAATCACCTGGTGAATCTATCATGTAACGTAACAGTTACTTATCTACCAGACACTTGATCTTATGTCTTGGAATGCAGGCTCCTGGCTTATTAGATCCATGATTCCCTGCACCAGGGAGCACTCAGTCAGTGTGCAGAGTTATCAGCCTCAACAAGAGCTGTTTCCAAAGCTCACCACCAGCTCCCTGGGTAAACACACCCCACAGGCAACTCCCTGAGCTCAGACATGAACAGGAAGAATGAACCAGTGTCCCCTGCACGCCACCAGGAGAGAGCTCACCTATCCCAGCAGGCTCACATTGACTGTCATCAAGTCTATTGACTACAATCTCTATCAAATGAGAAGGAGATGGAGCAATTTATAAATTAAGCCTCACAGAATTTTCTCTGAAATAAGTATTATAAATATTGTATCTGTTTTACAGATGGGGAAAAAGAACAGGAATTAAAAAGCTTTCTTATCTGCTTATTTAGCTGAAAACTGTGCTTCTTGGTAACTGAATTTCAGGTTAAATGATTATTTTTCAAGTCTGCTGAAAACAAGCAGAAAGTTTTAGCCTGCTGTGTAATATTCAGGTCAAGTTTCTTGCCATATACATATATATAACTTTTTTGCTTGCAAAATGAGCTGTATGAATGTGTATTATTGCACTGAAAGGCCACTTTTTTACTACCCTTTATAATTTTTTTACTTCAGTTAAAATGCTGGCTTATAAAAGATTTTGAATAAAATTTAAATTTCTGGCTCATCAAGTCACCTAATTTTTTTGCCAGGCTGATTTGAGCAAATGTTTAGATCTTGCCTTTAAAAATTTCACAGACATTCATCAACAAGAATTATCTGCACAAAGCTCCGTATTTTATTAATCAAACAAAAAAAAAAAGGAAAAAAAACCTGGAGAAATCATCTGTGCATGGTTGGCAACAGACTTCAAGAATAGGATGATTAGTTTTTGTCTATTTACCCTATTTTCCTCATGCTTCCTTCCTATTGGCTCGCTCTAGGAGCATGCAGAAGGTGAGGATTTGCTGCCACAGAAATAGCAGTTACGCAGTTCTGTGTTATTCTCAAAAATAGGAAAATACAACACTCTCTACACTCAGGGAAACAATGATGTTCTTTCCATCAATAGGCTAATTTGTTCCTGCTCTATCTGTTGTCTTATGGTCTTCTTTAAAAAAAAAAGAAAAAAAACAAAACTACAATACCCTACAAACGAACAAAGCAAAACAAAAAACTCGACCTCGTGGTATCTCTCAAATTCTCCAAAGGTTTCTTTCCTCTTCCTCACATGTGACAATCCATTTTCACAAGCTGTAATACAGTTCTGTGGTGATATGATAAGTGAAATTAGCGTGTAAATCCTGAGAAGGTGCACAAATGAGTGGGCAGAGCATCGTGGCAGCCCTGACACAGAAGCTCGTGTGGAACAATTCCATCGCTGCGTGTAAACAGGCGGTGCGTGCATGAGCAAACCCTTTGTGCTGCTAATCCCAGCCCAGCCTGTGCCGTGCCTGCCCATGCGCGGGCCCTTCCCAGCGCCTTCAGCCTCCAGTGTCTGGAGAGGGAAAGTGTAAACAAAAGCTGATTTCAATGCGGTGTCACTGGCGCTGCTTTGTTGCTAAGTAATTCAAGTTTCCCTGCGAAAAATATGCTGCAAGAACTCCAGAACAACTTATTTTCCGAGTGATATAAGTATTTGTTGGTTTTTTTCCTATATATCGGTGTTTCCGTTTAACCTTCCCCCCCACACACTACCTCTTTCTTTGCTTCAATTCCTCCCTTTCTTTCCAGTTTAGTGTTCATTCTCCTTATAAGGAATCAGTAGAAATTTCAAAGAGGCATTTAAAAAATGTATCTCAAGTGCTTCCTTTAGATTTATGACCTGTGTGCTTGCACAATTTTGAAATAAAAGAATTTTTAATTAAATATTAAATACTTGGAACTAATCTAATTGAATGGCCTCAATGTTCACTCATGGATAATCAGTGTGCCTAATTCCTAGCACACATTTCTAATTTTTTTCACTACAGCATGGGATTTCAAACCTTCCCTCACATAAATGTTTACCAGAACACAGGCTGTGGTTGCTTTAAGGTGCTTTAATTTCTGTAGGTAGTTGTTAGATCAGCTGCTACTCTAACAGGCTAATTTTCAATTTTTTTTTTTTTTTTAATTCTTCCACACTCCCCCACTTATTTCTAATGTGTATCATCAAAGCTTTTAAATTCCCTTTGTGGAGCTGGATCCTCTGATCGCATTACTTCATAAAACAGCCCTAAAACTCAACTCCAGTTTGAAGTTTTTAAAAATCTTCTGTTTAATGTTTAAAATTCATCTAACAGATTATAAACCTAAAGTGAGATCCAGAATTTGTTTGCAAAGCATGATTATACTGATAGCACATTAAGTTTCTTGTCCCCCTGATCCTTCAGCTGTCAGATGTGGCTTTAAAATAGCTCAGGACTAATTTTAACTGTAGTTAACTTTTTCTGGTAGACAGGCTTCTATCACAGAAGCTATGACTTGTTGTCACACCTTTTTGTGTACTGAAAACCCCTTTTACTTTCATAAAAACTCCTTAGTGATGTCACTGCTTTTATCCTGCACAAAAGTAACTATTTGATCATCTCTATCAGACTTCCATATACACTATTTGAAAAGTTTCCCAACTGCAGCTTCACAGTTGAGGCATCTTGTAGTCTGTCCCCATATCTTTCTTTCTCGGATTAGTGGCATCATAAATTTAGGAACCTACAGATCAAATCCTTGATAAACTGTGTATCAGTCTATCCTAAATTCACCCACTTCCCACACTATCAATACAGAAACCCTTCAAGAACTAAATAAGTAAGAATGCCCCCGAACAATTAAATGAACATAAGCCCTGTTCCCGTTCCTGATCCAAGGAGTTTGGACACCCAGCCAAACCTCACAGCTCCACGTGTGTTCATCCAGGCCAAAGGCACGTGGACCCCAGCAGTGCAATGGTACCCACGTTCCAGAGGGTGGCAGCTCAGGGTTTGCCTGTCTTGGGGTTTTGTGTGCGCTTTTATCAAGCACTTCCTGTCCCAGGAACATTTGGGCCAAGTTACATGTGAACAAGTATCTGTTCCTTTGCCTTCTCAGCTGAACTGTTAAAAACCATCCACTGCAAAGAAACTTGTTACTGTACCTTGCTTCTTTACAGAGGTCAGCAGTACTTACTATCCTTGACAGAACATTCCAGCAAAATTAAGGCTTCCTTGAAATAACAAGGAACAACACTTGCTTAGATTTTTGGTTTTTTTTCAAGTAATAGGAAAAAATTTAGACTCTACCAATCCAGTATGCCACAAAGACAGATAGAAGAGGAGCATGACTAGGGCACAAGTCAGGGTGTGCAGGAGCAGTGTGGGGTTCCCCACCAGTTATACACAGCAGCTGTAAAGCACATACCTCTGTCTGTCATCAGGTGACTTAGACTGTACTGAAGCTGGTTGAGATAGTATCTTCTGTTGGCCTTTCTTTATTAAAAAAGAAAAAAAAGGAGTCAGCTTTGGGGGAATATAATCCATTAAAGATAAATTACCCATTTGTAAATCACAATAACTACAGTCTACTATGGAAAAGAATGGAAACTATAGTCTACTGTGGAAAAGAACTTTCCAAACACAGGAGAAGATGGCTAAAAATGAAAATGCCGTTGCTATTTGTTGTTAAATGTATATCTCTGCAATCTGGCAGTGCCATGTGGTATATTAAGTGTCCTAAGAATATTTCATCTTCTGCTGTATTTAGGGAAGGGAAAAAAAAAAAAGTGGTTTTGTTGTTGCTGTTTTCTGAAGGAAAGAGACTGGATGCTATTTTGGCCGTTTCAACTGCTTCTGTTCAAATGCCAAGCAGCTACCCTCAGCTTGTCACTGCTCAAAAGAACAGTATGTTCACAGGCCATAAAAATGAAGTTTCAACAGCAGGAAAAGTGTATGCAACTATAGATTTCCAGAAGACTTAATAATTTGCTTTTAAAGCCTTATTTATTTGAATGAGTGCCCTTACAGTGAATATATCTAATATGCAGAACACCTTCTCTGGACTGGTTTGGGTATAAACCATACCTGCCCCATTCCCTTTTTATTCATTTGTCCCATTTTTGTATGAATCTTGACTCTTATCTGGCACACAGCTACCCCAATGTTAAAAGATAATACTGACAATAAACAGGAGCTTTTGCTGTTTTAAGAACGTTTCCTTCTTACTAAATTTACGTTTTCTATTTATGTTGCTTATTCTTTGTATTTCATATTGAACAATGTGTATCCTATTTCACTAGGAAGTTATTGCAATACAATTTGGTTTTCAAATACTATTTTTTATTTAGCATTTAATACAGAAGACCACCTACAAATCCTTTTCCTGAAGTTTTTTATGTGGTTTTATATCTATATCTGCACAAATGCTCTATGCATCTGTGAGAATACCTACCTGATGAAATTATATTAAAACTAGTTTTACGTGTGTTTTTAGTAGAAGTTTACAGCCTTTGGAAAAAAAAAAATTAAAGCTTACATTGCATTTGAAAGCAAAATAGGTTTAGTACCCATGGTCTAAATAATTTCTTTTTAAGCTTGACACTGTGTGCATGTGAATCAAGGCTAAATCATGTAGAACTCTGTATAACATACCATCAGCTCTTCAGCCTGACGCACCAGTTTTTCTGTTTTGGCTTCTAATTCTGCATTCAGTCGCCTGAAAGAGTAAGAATGCTTGTCACTGAGTTTTTGAAAGGTTTAAGAGAAATAAATGTAAGCATGACAGTATTTCTGCCTGAACTAGGTGAAATTTTAATAATTCCTATAAAGGAGCACTGAAATATGCTTCAGGGTTTTAACAAATTATGTTTCAACAATTTCCCGGGTTTCTGGCAAATCACTGGTAATAAAACACCTATACCCATCAAGCAGCAAGGTTTATGCTGTAATTCTGAGATGTGAAGGGCGTCCCTGGTTTTGGACGTATCACTGCTTAATACACATTTTATGTCTTTATTTCCTTGGTGTTTTGTGTGTTTGACAGAGTCCTTACCTTCAGCATACCCAGCAGCAGGGGTTGGTACGACTACATTGCTTAACCACATAATTAAAGATGTGTTGCTATGTATCTGTAGAGTTGCAGTGAGCTGGTGTCCTTGCATGGTTCACAGCACAGAGTTCCAGACTCTCTGTGGCTCTCTGTGCCCCCTCAACACTCACAGGGGCCAAGCACCCACAGGTAACAGAGCGGGGGCTTCCATTTAAAACTTTTACAGCTTTTAAGCTGTTTTTAACAGGGTTAAGCTCTTATATAGTCATGTTTTAGAGGCAAAGGCAGTGTTGGAGGTGCAGAATGCCCAGGCCTAGAGCCCGCCTGAGGCAGCGGTGTCCCGCGGTGCCCCCAGCGCCCTGCGGGGCCCGACCCGTGGGACCGGGCACAGGGACCGACTGCTGGCCGGGCCCGAGCGGGGCCGCCTCCTTACTTGTACTGCTCCTCCTTGGCCAGCCAGGCTCCGCTCAGTGCGCCGGGCCCCGCGGGCGGCGGGGGGCCGCCGGCCGCCCTCAGCACCTGCGGGGAGGACGCGTTAGTGAGCGAGGCGGGCTCGGCACGGCCGCGCTGCACCGAGCCCGAGCCGCCGCCACCGCCGCCTTCTTACCCCGGGCGGGTCCCCGCCCCGCCGGGCCCCGCCGCTGCCGCCCGCCGACATTTTGTCCGCGCCGAGGCCGCTGTGGCGTCGCCTTCGCCAGGGCAACCGGCAGCCGCCCGCCCTCCGTCCCACCCTCCATCCCTCCCTCCATCCCTCCGTGTCAGGGCCCCAGCGACAGCCGCGGGAACGGGACCCGGGGCAGGGACCGGCTGGCTCCCGGCGTGGCGCTGGGCTGCCACGGGTTCGCGGTAAGGGCTGAAGTGGCATTTCGTTTATCGTTGTCATAAATATTTGTTTTAGCCCTTCTGTTAGAGCCTCTTGGCCTTGATACGAGTTGTCCTGCCACCATCCCTTCGTTTCAGCCTAACAGCAGCTGTGCCACCCAGTATGCAGCCCTTCGGTGCTGTCGTCCCTCTGCATTTCCCATTCCTAGATCTCTGTGATTGTCACCTGGTTTTAGCCTTGCCCTCCACCACGTGTTTGAATCTCTCCATTATTTTTGTCCCTCACCCCCGCACAGTCTGATTTTGCTGCATTTCTCCTTCCAGTCACCCACGAGCCCGTTTCCCCTCCCTCCCCTCATGGAGTCTGGGAGTCGCAGGATGGCTCGGGTTGGAAGGGACCACAGTGGGACCATCTGGTCCGACCTCCCTGCCCAGGCAGGGTCATCCCAGAGCACATGGCACAGGATAGTGTCCAGATTGTTCTGGAATATCTCCACTGAAGGAGACTCCACACTCTCTCTGGGCAAACTGTGCCAGTGCTCAGTCACCTGCACAGTAAAGAAGTTCTTCCTCATGCTCAGATGGAACTTCCTGGGCTTCGTTTTTTGCCCATTACCTCTTGTCCTGTTGCTTGGCACCACAAGAAGATGGTAGATTACTTACCCACTCACCTGCTCAATCACTCCCATCTCCTTTCCCAAGTTTCTAATGGATGGTGACCCTCTGTGTGACAACAGCCCCACTGTCCTGCACCCACACAGGTCACTGGGTGTCTAAAGAGCGAGGATGACATAGTCCTATAGTGAGTTATATGGGCTGTATGTGATTTTAATTGCACAAGGGAAATCAGAAGGGCTTAGCTGGCTGGAAGTAGAAGGTCTGTGCCTAGCTGAAGGATTTCTGCGGAAGTATTAGTTTCAAAACAGAAGAAATGCTTGGAGATTCTGAGCATTGAGACAGGCAGCGTCATGGGATAAATGGAGGTGAAATGAAAGACAGGACAAATGTGATTAGTGGGAGACAAAAAATAGAAATATTGATATAGAAAATTGAAGTTCTTAACACTAATGTTGATACAAAGGTTTTGACACAAAGGAGGAAAAGAATGAGCCTGGAAGACACATTATGGAGATTTTGAAAAAAATTGTCTGTCAAGAAGTCAGTCCATTTCAATAATTTCAGCAAAAGAAAGAGGTTAATGGTGGCCTTCCAAAAAAAAAAAAAAATCAGAATTTAACTCCATCAGTTACGCTTTTGGATTAGAGAAACAAGAAGGGTGGGGTAGTAGTAGAAATCTAAACTCCTTGGGGAAAAAATAGATTATATTGTAGATTCCATGAGACATTAACACATCACAACCAAAACCACGTTTTAGAAATGCCTCTATTGAAGTTCTGGGTATTTTTAAGGGAAACAGAGGAACTAGAGAAGGAAAGGTTGGCAGGATGAAAGCTATGAGGAGAAAGATGCTCTTTCCAAACAGCAACTTTTTTCCCCGAAAACATTATTTCTTTTTGCAGAACTAAAATATCATCTTAGTAATAATTTTACTGTTTTTGAAGTTCTTGTACAATATAATTATAAGAGCACAACACCTTAAAAATGCCAAAAGTATTAGCTAGAGGACCCCTGCTAGTTAGATACCGAGGCAATAAAATCACTGGTTGAGATTAGAGAGATTAGAACCACTGGTTTTCTAGCCAGCTTTTATCTAAGTCTTAATAAACAAAAGAGGGGTAATTTATTATATCATAAATGATTAAATATGTTAACAAACACAGCAACACAAGGTCCTTTTTCTTTAGAGCCTTCTGGGAATAACGTATATATTAGGATTGCACATTTGCACAATATTTCTAAGATCCATAACATGATGTATTTAATATTATCTATTTTATTGGAATATTATATCAAATGGATTTAGAATTCAAGTACCTATATTTGAAATAATATGAAAAGATTAGTATGTTTGGATAAGTATTTCTTAGTGAACTTTAAAGTCTTTCTCCAGAGATGCAGAAAACAGAAATAAGAGATTTTGTTACTTTCTTGATCCCTTCCTCCATTAAGGTTTTATCACTTTAAAGTTGACCTGATGTGACCTGATGTGGTTAATTCTCTAATACATAGTTTGTAACTGGGTAGAGAATAGGCTTATATTAGAGACACCAGCCAATAGCAAGGTACATAAGGAGATAGGAAAATCAGCATTTATCCGGAAAAAAGAAAGGCATTTGAAAGCATAGCATCGGCATAGTATAAGATTTAGCCAATAATAGTTGTTAGCAGATTTCCATTTTCCGTTCAAATATTTTTTAAAATGGACTCAAACATCATGACTGTGAAATGAAAATGTTTTTGCTGCTTTGAAGTGTACAGTAGGTTAGGTGCAGGTTTTAACCAGATCAGTGTTTATGACCATAATGAGCTGTATTGGGACCTATTGCTTGGGACCTCTGTGATCAGAGCAGCACATCATCTGTATTTTTCAAGTGTTTCAGATTTTGTTTTCTGAGGATCATAAGATGCCAGAATTAAATGACTCTAACAGAAACGTTAGACTCAAAATGAAGTTGTTTACTGTGTGGCCTTTGTTTCTCTTCCAGCTAAGGAGGAGGTGGGTCACAGAGCACAAGAGCTCGATCAGTCCAGCTGGCAGGAGTGGTAGGGACAGAGGGACGTGTGAGGCTGCTGGGGTGTTACAGCAGTTACTGCAGAAGATTGCTCAGAGTCAATATACAGTGTTTAACTTTGATTAGCCCATGTGTTATTTAAGTGTTTCCTATGGCCCTCTTCCTTCTACAGGCACGAATTTTTGTGATCTGTTTCCTCCCCCAATAAATATACAAAAGCACGAGATTTTAATATGAAGCTATTATCTCTACACTTGTAGACAAAATTTTTTGTTCATATCTTCTTATTGGCTTAAAGATTCAATATACAGAATTTTCTGTTCTTCTTATAAAAGTTGTGATATTTAGTAGAGACCTTGAATGCCAACACTGTAGGAAGGGACAGGATTTCACTGTATATCACATTGCTTGTCAGGAACAGGGGAACACTAGTGGTTTGGCACAATGTTTTCTTCCATAAAAATCATTGCAAATGTATCAGACCAAAGAGACAAGAGCTGATATGCTGGCTCAAACTTTTGTTCTTTTTGGGTTTTCTGTGAGGCCCACTGTAAACAAACAACAAGTCACATAGATGCACAACTGCTTACTATTTTTAGACCAAGAATCATGTTAAGAGCTATATATTGGCTTCTGTATGTGGTAGAGCTAAAGTCAGTTAAAGTTTTGTTACTACAGGCCTCTCATTTATATATCTGTATTTCCTCTGTTGATTCTACCTCTGGTAGAAAAAGTCTTTTACAGGACTTGTTGGTGCCTGCTGTACCTCCATCCTAGGAGAGAGGGATGCTTCAGTGAGGCAGTGTGACACAGAGTGTTTCATTCTTCCTTGTCAGCGAGGTTGTTTGCCCAGGACCATCTGTGCCGCTCAGATTACCCTGCTCCGGGTCAAGCGGTCACCGAGGGACCATTTCCCACACCTCACTTAACGCTCCTAGGCCTGGACACAGGTACTTTTCTCAGTCAGCACCCCTGTGTGTAGGCCCAGGGCTCTGCAGCAGTGCCCTGCACCCTGGCAGGAGGTTGTGTTGCCCCAGGGCTGCTCTGGGTCTCGTGGTCTATTCACACCAGTCCCTACAAGCGGGGCATGCACAGAGCAAACCCCACAGCCTGGGCAGTTGTTTGTTTACTTATTTATTCTAAATGTGCCAGAGAGGATGTCAAAACTTAAATCCAAAGCATATCACCGTAACCTGAGCAACTGTAACCATTAGAGCCACTTCACACTTGAATAGTTTCCCTACCTTAAATTTCTCCTTCATTTTTCTAGTTCCAATTTTCTGGAGGTGAGAGAGGGAAGAGCAGAATTTTTGAATGAATTGTAAGTGGAATTTAATACTTAGCAGCTTTCTGAAAACCTGGATTTTATTTTTTTTTTTAGCTTTAAATACTCATCTTGGTTTTTACTTTAAAAGATCCGATTGCTATTTCATATTCCTGTTGTGTGGCATGTGTGACAGCTAACGAATTCAGCTAAAAATCAGACTAAAATACATTATTATTGTGCAATCCCAGGACAAAAATAATGTAAACTCATGTACAGCATTTTCAAACATTAGTGGAATGGTAGGATCTAGACAATATGTAGGTATTAAATCAATAATCCAGACATTGAAGGGAATTCCTCGGACAGCTGTTGGATTTTTCCCCCTAATCAGTAATAATAATCCAATGGTGTTTGAAATGGCATGAATGTATATTGGAATGCATTTTTGTGCTGATATTTTCTCATGCATCTCAATGACTTCCTAAAATACAAAGAAGACAAAGTATATATAGCCATGGATGTGCTGTGAAAAAGCTGCTGTTTGGATCTATGAAGTCTGTGCAAGATCTTTAGCCCTTACTGACAGATACCCTAAGCTGGTTTACCCGCAGGATGACCTGCTATCTCTTGTTTCCTGGCAGAATGACCCTGATGGATGTTAGTGCTTGTGCCAAGTTCTGTGTGGCAGAAGGTGTGTGGGAACCAGGCCCACAGATTTTGAGGGACAACAGGGCTGGGGGAAGGGCAAGCTGACCTATTAAGTCTCTTCCATCTCCACTGTCTCCAGTTTTGCTTTTATATGGATTTCAGTGCCATGGAAATGTTTATTCTGTTTCTAGTAGCTGTGTAGACATATACAATACCTAGTTTCTAGGCTGGGCTAAGTTATTTTTTTATAAAGCTATAACCAGCATACTTGGGCTGTCCAGATTCCTATTTAAAAATACAAACATTTTTCTTTGTTCTTCTCTGCTTCACTGCACTATTGGGGCTTACTTATTTCAGTGTCATCCTTCCTAACCTAATCCAAACAATAACCTTGGCTCAACAATTTAAACATATTGAATCCCCAACCAGAGTAGTTTTCCCTAGTAATACTCTGATTACAGCAGCTTTTATGTCTGAACAGGAAAGGACCTTAAACACTAAATCTCATCAGCACTGTAAAAAATAAGTGGTGAGCATCAGTCACATTTTCTTGAAATACCACAAGTCTTTCTTGAGGCCTAATCCTTTAATCTCTGGATTTTGGGCACTTCTGTTCTGATTACTAGGGATCAAAAGGTTTGGCAAATACTCTTCAGACCACTCTTCAAAGTGGCCACTGTAATATTACCAGGTTGTTATGACAATTGTATGATTTTTTTTTTGGTAGCTGGTATTTTTGGAAAAAACAGAAAAATTAGTTGATCCCCCATTGAAAATTAATAAAAAAGGAGATGCTCCTCCAGTACAGACGTTCAGAGGATTTGAGAACATGGCAATGTTGAAGTAAAGGAGAAATACCTTTCTCTGATGATGGAAATTCCTCCTACCATGTAAGATGCAACATTTCTAATGGAGGGTACCCTTAAAGGGCTGCTGGAACATGTACAAATGCTGTTTCCTAGCTTGTCCCCAAAGCTACAGAGGGATAATTCATTTTACTGCAACTGGAAATCTTATGCCATTTCCTGCCTGAAATACTGTGTGATGTTACATATCATAAAAAGGAAAGAGTTTTACATGACATCCATGGGCCAAAGTCAGTCCCTTAGGCCCTCCTATCAGTCAGGTTTGTTAGATGTTCATTGGTCTGCTCTGGAAGTACACAGTTTTCTCCTAAATGAAATAATTTCCTCATCCTGTTTTAAACAAAGGCGATTTAAGTTGAAACAAATCAGTGACTCCTCCTTCACAATTTTTATTTTACTTATTGCAAACTAGAAATAAAATTGAGCTGAATGTATTCCCCTATATTTGAGCACTGGGACTCCAAAAGACTCTCACTTCACATGTTAGATCTCCATCTCAGGAAGACAACTCCACCTCACGTCTTCTAGAGAGAGCTAACAAGGTGCTTTTAAGAAATCCCTCGTTTTCAACAGAGAGGCATTCTTTTGACAGGGCAGATTTGGGAAAAGGAACAATTTTGTCACCTAAATGCAGGGCCCTGCAGTTATAACAGGAGCAAGTGCAAATCTCTCCATTCAGTTCCTGTTCACCCCACCCTTCATCTCTGGGCTGCATTTATTGTTGGTGTCGCTGCTGTTGTCAGTAAGAAATCCAACTGAGTATTTAGAACCAGAACCCCAGAGCCTGAAACAGCCAAATACTCTTCTGCTCATCATGAATATTTCATTTGTGTAGGTGTGTCATCACTTGCATCCAGTTCCTCTTCACTTGGAAGATTATGTTCTGCTACAGAGCATAAATTCATTAGAAAAACACTCTTTTGTACTGTTGCTTTCATGGGGTTTGCCACATTCTATATCTGAGTGTGCATATCAAGGGTGAATGCAGGTGAGGGCTTTCAGAGTTACGTTGCTGTGTTGACAGCACCACAACAGGTCTGACCTTTACTATCAAATTGAATATTTTTATTAATTTTTCATTCAGTGCAGAGTAAGGCATATTGGGTTTGAAATATTCAGCGACTCTAGTGTGCTATCACCAAGTAAATGAATGTGATGGAACAAGTACAAACAAGTTATAACATTTTAAAGCGCCAGTGTTAGCATTCAGTGGTAGCCTTAAACTAGAAGAACACATGGTTTTGCATATTCTGTGTTGTTTGATAAAAGGAATGCTAATTGAGTTGGTAGTGTCAGTTCAGCCCTTGGCTTCCCTGATAATGCCTGCTCTCTGTTAGGAAACTTGTGTCAGTGTAAGAAAAGGAATTATAAGTCAAGCTCTGTGCCCCTGTGTAAACCACCAGTATGAACACACTTGTTTGTGCATTAAACTGCCCTGCAAAATTGCTTCAGCTTAGAGGAGATTCGAAGTTTCTCTCTCGCTGCAGTAAAAGATGTGTAGCTCTGAGTCGGCTGGGGAGAACTCTCGTTTGTTATCTCCTGCCTGTTTTCATAAACAAATGCCGACAGCAATTGTTTTTGCAGAGCCAGCAGAAATTCATAGAGGTTTTCTTTTTGTTGTTCTGCCACACAAAAAAAAGATGTCATTTTAACAACAGAATGTTTGATAGCTTTTAAAAATACAAAGCCCCGTTTTCAGGCATGCTGAGCCCCCGTAATTTCTCTTGAAGTCACCTCTTGCTGCAGATGCCCCACAGCACTCTGAGGTGTCCCTCGCATTCAAGATCCAAGTACAACACCAGGGAACATTTCTGATGTGAGCACAGTCACCAGGAAAAGCACAGAGGCTTTGTTTTCTGTACACCAAAACAAATTGGACTTCTGGAAGGTACATATGTTGAACGTGTTCTTAAACTTTGCCAAGCTCCCATCTCTGCCATCAGCCTTAGCAGTAAGCTGCAAGTCAGCTTAAACTAAAGCAGGGTTTGTGGAATGGGAATCATTTTGTGAGCAGGAATGCAGAGGTAAGATTGGACGTAGCTGCTGTGGGACAGAGCAGAGGGAAACAGCTGTCTGTTGAGGAAACTCTCTGTTGCAAAAGTAACCCCAGACACTGAACTCAGTTCAGGCCAGGCCCACCTGAGACAAGTTTAAAGGTTTCTGTTGTGTGGTGACAATGGTTTTTTCCCTTACTGCAGCTAAGGTTTTCCTAGGATTCATGCCTCGTCAGGCAACAGTTAACAATACCAAAACACCCAAGATGTCCATTCTCTAACAAGAACAAGTACATAAATACAAAATGCCCTTGCTTCCATCCCATTGCTCCTTACTGTTCTCTTTCCTAAACAAAGTTTAATCACTACTTAATTTAGGTATTGTATATTCATTGAGTGTTACAGAACAGATGTAAAAGTGGTGCAGTGGCAGGTAAAAAGTTCTCCAGTCCTTTAAAATTGTTATCAACTTGTTTATTAGCATTTTTAAGTGAATGTCTGTGTTCAAATGTTCTGAACCTTTAGTTAACAAGGTAGGAAAGATATAAAAACTGGCTGAAGTTAATTTTGAACAGATCAGCTTTTATGCCTTTGGCTGCCCTGAGTAAAAAGAGCACTCCAAAGGCATTTAAGTTCAAAGACTAGGTTGTGGGTTCTTTTCACTAGAACCTGATCAAAAGAAAAAGATCCATTGGAACAGCTATTTTGTTTACTCAGATTTGGACTTTCTCCTTCAATGTTGGCAACTCAGATTCTGTAAGATCATGCCTCTGCTTAAGAAGCAGCGAGTTGAATGTAGAGATAAAAGCAAATGTTTGCATCAAAGAATTCTCACTGTAAAAAGATAGCTTGAAGAGTGAAAATATTAATTGTAAGATTATTGCTGGTATCAGTATATTGAAAAATTTACACCTAAGTGCAAAGTTGCATTTGATAATTTTTTTAATGCAAGAATGAACATGTAAAAGCTCTGGTTATATTCTGCTGTGCCTCTTTTCATTGTAAACTGAGTCTTAAAATGTACTTAAATAGAATTAAAACTTAAAATAACAAATTCTGGACTGAGATTGTCATAAACTGAGGTCACACCTCCAGTACAGTGGCTTCACTTCTGTGAGGATCACCTGCCTATCAGTGCTTACCCAGGCTGACCTAACAGCTGTATTGCAGGAGATAGCCTTAGTGCAAACTTAGTCCAAAAGTGCACTAAACCCCCACACAGCTGATACTGTGAGGCATGAAAAGCTGCTGTACTCACTGTAAAGGCACTGTTTATGCAGGAAGTCATTATCTCTGATGTGAATTTTAATGCATTCAGTGGCAACAAACATCGAGGCTTTTCTTAGGAATTATCTACTTAAAAGGAGTGTGTGATGCTGGTCATGTAAGGTTGCTGAAGTCTATTAAATAATCTTTCTCCTTGTTTTAAATATTAGAAGATTAATTAGTTCAGTTAGAAGTAGAATAGTTTTAATCTAAAATCAGGTTAAGGAGATGCTGAATACAATAAAATCATCTTCCCATTTTCTAACAAGCTAACTGAGCAGAGGAGCAGGGGTTTCTGAGTGTCAGACTCCCAGGGGTTTCCTCACAGCACCCCTGGGGTCTGTTCTCTTGCTGTGTAACAACTCTGCAGCAGGCCTGAGTTACTCATGTTCTTCTGCTCCGTTCCTTGGCCTGAGGCACAGAACAACACAGTCTGTCCCATGTGCAGAGGAAATCAGAGAAGGAACTTTCTCTGGCTGATTTGGGAGATGATGCTGAAGATCACACAGACTGAGCAAAAGGAAAACAGATCCCCAGAAAGCTTTGTCAGAGCTCATTTAGCCTTGGTGAATGATCTAAGGAAAGGGTCTCCAAAGCCAGACTGGGACAGTGCAGAGAGAGCTGTTAAGAGTTCAGCACGTAAGTTGTGAGTGGCAGTGAGCAGAGTTAGTGGAGGTTTTTCTGAGGGCTCTTTGAAGTCAAAAATATAGGAGGCTGAAGAGAAGAAATCACTTAACCAGCACACAAGAGGAAATTAAGGACTGGAAAAATCCTTTTAACATATTGCTTGTGAAAGAGGAAAAAAGCAGGTAATGGCAGTGAAAAATAAGTTCATTTTCCCTTTTTATTTTTGAAGTCGGCACAGCGTGAACAGTAATCGTGCATCCTTCTTCTGTGCTCCTCTGGCACCGTGACCAAGGGCTGGCCTGTAGTAGAGAAACCACCTCCACTAAGGTTGTGGTTTATTTTCCATGCAGCCTCTCCAACTGTGTTGACATTAACCATGAAGCTGCAGGGAATGTTGTTCCATGCCATGTGCAATGGTGTTTTTCCTTCTGTGGTCAGCTGTCCAACAGGAAATGGAAATTAACTACCTCCTTTCTGGGTTGCATCGAACAGCTGTTAGACAAGTGCCAACCATTAGTGTGTCTGAGCATTCAGTGTTTTACAGAGATTTGAGTTTTGTTGGAGATTCATTCTAATGTCGGAGTTCTGTTTTTATCTATCTACATTGCTGAATGAAATTTCTCAATTTTTTTCATCTCCTTTGGAATGGAAATCAGTCCATCTCCTGAAATATTGCTTGTGCTAATCAAAACATTTTTATTTTTCCTGAATGACCTGCTAGTTGAGTTAATATTTGCCTTTAAAGTTTGGTTTCTCCTGGCAGAGGGAATAGTTTAAATTGTGTCTGGACTACAGCAGAAAAAAAATCATAATGAATGTGAGAGAGATGGAAGAAGCATATCTAGTTCCTGCAAGTAATGTGAGGTACCCTATTTTATTTCTTTAATTATGGCTATGCTGTACTGTTTAAAACTAGAAGATTTCTTCTTTTGCTTTAAATCTGTTCCTAATGTTTCAGGCCGTGTTTATCCTTTAAATTAGTAACATGATATGAAACAATACTGTCTCTTGCCAAGTTCTTTCAGAATTTACCTTTGTTCATGCATTTAGCTCCATTTTTTAAAAAGTGTCCCTGTTAGCACTTTCCAACCTGCACTTCTTTGCTTGCCTTACCTCGTTTTCAAGTTTTTCTATTCTGTACCTAATTTTCGTGGCAGGCACTAAGATGCAGAGACCTGCCTTGGGATGGGTGCTGAGTGATCTGGAGTCTCTGCAGTGTGAATTGCAGTCACTGACACAGAGAAGACCTGAGCTCACTAACTCAGCTTTCCACTCCTGCTGTGATATTTGTGTCTAGGTGACTTTAACCTTTCACTCTTAAAATAGCTGCTTGTTGCCACCGCTGGTTCGGCTCCGGGAGAGCACCAGTCTACAGACTGGTAACAACCGAACTTCTGTGTTCTAGGTCAACAAGTGTTCAGACATTCATCACAAAAGCAGATGAATCAGTGGCAGAAGTAGTGAGGAATTGCTCCTTTGGCTGAGGCAGAAAAACTGGAGAATGGAAGGGGCATTTCATTATCTCAGACAGCAGAGAGTGCTGACACTGTGAGTCTATTGGCACATGCACACGGTTTGACAGTGACAGCTATCATGTCCAAATTTCTATGGCGTTTATTCATAATAATCTCTCCTTCTCAGTAAAAAAACAAGGTTCTGGTGACCTTTCTGAATTTGTTTTCTGCCATAAACTATGTATCTTAAAGTTTAGATTCAGCTGAACTCCCTGGCTAAGGCCAGTCTGTTTGTTTGTTTGTACTTTGACCAAAGGATTACATTGACGGTTTCCCAGGATCCAAAATTGTGTTTAATCTGTTTACAGAGCTACATGTATTATTTGAATGAGAAAGAAGGGAACGAAAGTGGCCATATCTACATCAGCTGGTAGCTGCTCCCAGGAAGCAGCAATTACTGTCTAGCCTTCTTCCCAGGAAAGCTCTCCCAGCTGCTTCCCATGCCATGTAACTGTGCAGTGCATGGGCACACAGAATATCAAAAAAAAGCATCAGAGAGCAATAGACACTAATATTTGAGTAGATTAGTAACAATTAGAATCATTCCCACATGAACAGAACTGAAGGTGATTTCTCTTGCAGCTGTCAGATGGAGCTGACCTGGCGAGGGCAGGACTGTGTGTTTGCCATCAGGATCTGTGCACTTGCAGCAGGGGAGGGACTCGGCCCTGGCACTCTTGGACGGTCTCACCTCTTTCAAATTCTCTCAGCCTGTGCAGTACCCTGCGATTTTCCTCTTTGCTTTTTTTGGTCCCAGCTCACACATTTGTGAATCATTCAAGGGGAAAGTTTGAGAGATGCTATGTGTCAGGTCAGCCTAGGTTCATTCACTGTATGTCCTTAGAAAGCCAGAGACACTGGTGTGTAAACAAGGGGGGAGGGGAAGGGAAGGTTTAACAAGACAACGAGAGTTAATCTTTGCTTTCAATATTGCCTATAACTTGGTTTTCTGATTACACACTAAACTACAGTTGTATTTTCTTTAATTCAGTTACACAAACACGGCAGCCAATCCACATTCCTGCACTCTATGTGTTGTGAGGGGTGCACAGAGAAAACCTTTGTTATATTTGTGGTGCTAAAGGAGCTGTTCATGTTAAACCATATTCCTCCACACAGCAACAGCAAAGTAAATGACAGCATTAATTCGATCCAGAATGCTTGATAAATTGAGAGGGGTTGTTTACCTAGTGTATGAAAAAGTCTCTTGGGGATGGGTTTTATTGTGATCTGCATAGTCATCCATCTTCCTATACTGTCCGTGCTCATGTTTGTGAGTAAAACATATACAGTAATTTAGCATTCAGATAATCCCACTGCTATAATCCAGACAGATTTAGCTCAAATTTCTCTGGGATTTCTATTATCTAGATTTAGCAGTGTGGTGTTGACTGGATATTTTAAATTGCTGCAAATGCAATTTAACATATTTTGATGTTCCCATAATTGAAGCTGTGGATTCTTCCTGGCATTAACCACATGTAAAAATGTATCTTTGTGAGGACAGTGATTGCACAGCTGGAGCACGGGTTTAATGGATTCCAGCTATTTGACTACATACCACATAAGATCATAGAATGTTTATATGAAAACCAGTGTAACATATGTTAAAATATTAATGAGAATAGTCTGTAGACATCATCTTTTTCAAAATGAATTCAACTGCTTCAATTTTAATAATGTTTTATTACAGTATATTAGACAATATGATAATATAGAGCCTGGCTCTCTTACAGCACTTTTCCTAAGCGGATCAGAACTTTTATTGTTTTTCAGTTTCAAGGAAAAGAGGAAGTCGGGGGGGGGGGGGAAGAGAGTAGCATTATCCACGTGAAATGAGGAGATATTAAGTCCAAGTGCACTGGGCACCTTTTGCAGCAGACCACCCTTTGTCATATGTTCCTCTGATTAATTGCAAATGTATTCAAGGGAGCAGAGCAGACACTGTAGAGGGGGTCCAAATGTTCTTGTACCAAAAATGCCAGCCCTCCCACACGGGCTAGCTTTGGTGGAGCTGCAGGAGTAAGAATGTTTGTGTGGGAGATTTTTAGGAGGGAAGTGTACTGTGGGAAAAATTGTAAAGCTTCTACCCGAGTAGCTCAAGTGAGAGTGTCTGAATTGAGGCAAACAGGCAGAGCAGGGCAAAGCATGCTCTGTGCTCTGCCTTGTTATTGTGTTGTAAATGCACCAAGTACATTGTTCACCCCCGGGCCAGATCTTCTGGGAAGAGGCTTGAGCACACTTGGCAATACTTTGATGCTAAGATTGTGTCATCCATAAGTGTCTGAGAAATTCAAAACAAGGAAACCATTTGGAAATGTTTGGAAAACAAACTATTTGGAACCAATTGTGGGATTTGGGATGCTGTGTGTCATATTTTTGCTCCCTGAACTGGAGGATTCAGACACCAGTTCAGTGGGGAATTTCAGGTGTTCTGCCCCTGAAAGCACCTCCATCATGTGTGTTCCAGGTACCTTCTCTGACTGTGCATTATTGCCAGCCCAAATAACTGTAACATTCTTGAGAGAGATTTTTGATTTGAAGAAATAGAGAGGATGTTCATTTAATCAGTTGAGACAAAGCTGGTCCAGGTATAAAATTTGTTCTCTTAGTCCCCAGACTGCAGCTTTGCAAGAATGATGAAAAAAGAGACAAACCCAAAAAGCATGAATGAGAGAGACTTTTATAGCTGACAATCATGCTTCTGGGTAAAACCCTTCTGAAAGAAATGTGCTGTGTCTATGTGGCAGTACTTTTGGTTTCAGACTCGCTCTGAGTTATTCTTTGCAATACTCCAGCAGTTGGGTTTCAGAAGCAGCAGCTCTTACGGACTTGCCACAAAAAAAAAAGTCTGTGTTCGCTCCCCTCGTTTCGATGCCCCTGTGAAAGCTGTGGGCCTGCTCCTGCTGCACTGGCAGCCCCTACTTGTGGTGTGAGAAACCATATTGATGCTGAAATAGCTATCAATATCCGTGTTTGATCCCCAGTAAGTCAGAACTATGAAGCTGTAATGCCAGCGAGATGGAAAAGCAATCTGATAGCTCTTAAACTGCTCTTTCCTCCAGACGGTGCCTGGGGCACCAGCTGTTGCAGATGGGAGTTTTCAAGGCCCAATTCGTTTCTCAGAAGAATCTCCTTAGACCCCTAAAGTGATATCAAAACCTGAGATAAGCAAAAGAGTTTAAAATGGACCTGACATAACTGTGTATCAGCTGCATCTTTATCTGGACAGAAGTATAAATCAGTCTAAATTTTTTACAGTCAGCATCTGAGGAAGGTGACAGTGCACCCACAGACCTCATTGCTGCACGCTCAGCTCGACTCACCAGACTCACCAGTTGCACTATGGTCGCCTGCTTTTTTTTTTTCTTTGCATTTTTTTTCGTCCTGTTATATCCTGACCCCTCATTCAGCAATTGTTTTGATTCATGCTGAGGACAGTTTTACTCACTCCCTTTGGATTTTCACTTGCTAATGCCAATGCATCTCAAAATATCATCTTCCCAAGTTATTAGATCCAGGGTTTGATGATTCTTACTGGGCTTACTGGAAGTATCAAACCAGGAAAGAAAGACCAAGAAATGAAAGAGCACCGTGTAAATATTGACAGATTGTTTTCATGACTAAGCTATGATTATCCTTCATTAATTTGTCTATGCTTTCAGGAAGGGAGGAAATTGCTGAAAAGCATAGTAGTATTTTTTACAACAGACAACTGTGTACTGTGATTGTTGAAATTTTTATTCAAGAAATCTCTCAGAATGAAAACAAAATCAGAAAAAATGTCTACTCTTAGAGAGAGGCAGGTCTTATATGCTTAAAAGTAACACCAGCATGTTCTACGTCTGCATCTGTAATTTGAGATTAAATACACTATGGATAAGTTAAAGACATAATCTTTTTTAACCACTTCCCAGGCATTTATGCAGTATATTGTTTCCTTTTTGATAGTTAAATTACTAGTAATCAAGCTCTGTAACTCAGTCGTGGCTGTGTTTGTCCTCTAACATGGCTGTGCAGCTGCATCACCTCCTCTGAGCTGCAGCAACACAGTGAGGGCAGAATCTGGGCCTGTAACATTTAGTTAATCACACTGTGTGCTATTAGCAGAGCTGATACCTTTCTACCCCCTCCCTTAGCCTGGTGCTGGAGAAATAAAGCAACTCAAACTACTCAATTGCTGCAATTCTGAAAACAGATTTTCGGTGCAAGAAGTTGCCATCTGCACAATCATCCTTTTCCTTTTCAAGTAGCAAACAGCCAGAAGGTACCAAGCCCCCTCTCTGTGTTGCAGAGGGAAGAATCCCAGACATGGCTTTGGTAGCTGTGCCCTGCTGGCTTTTTTAACCCATTGAAGTATTTTCTAAAGATGCTCTTCTTTCCACGTGCTTGGCTGGTGTTATGGTGACCATGAGAGAGTATATCAAGTTACTAGTATGGGAGTAGCCCTTCCAGGAAGCCAGAGGGCATGTTCAGTGCAAACTGTTTTTAGAAGCCTAAACAGGCACAGCTCTAAGTTGAGTGCCTGCTAAGTTAATAAAAGGACTGAACATTGCTTCTCCTACCTCTTGCATGTGGACAGAACACAGCCTGTGTCTGAGACAAGCCTTACTCCTGGGTTGATATGACATTTAGGTAATTGGCCCTTACAACATTGTGTAAATAGCAGTATTCTAAAACTGGGGTTAGACAGTCGGATTTTTGAGCTTGGGTTTTGCTAGAACTTGACTTTTTACAAAGTGAAAGGGGAGAAACAAAGAAATGCCCCAACATGGGAAATTTGTATGAACAAAATGTGATCGACTCATTCTAGGGGTTAAAGTGAATGAGCAGAGTGAAAGCTGCATCTACTTCCTTTCTTTCTGATGTTTTCCTTGCTTCATGAAGGAAAGAAAATTGTCTTTCTCAGGAACATCAAGTTAGGAAGGTGACCTACCAATTTATTAATTTTGCTCTTTACATGTGGTATAAAACATCCAGATGCAAAGTGCTCTGGTTTGTAAACAGAGCTGCTCTACTAGAGGTTGTTCACATTAAAACAGCTGAAAAACCATGAGCACCATCTCAAATGGTAAAGTCAGGATTTTATTACTTATAAGGCCCCCACTTTCCTCCTATTCCCAGATCATACCAGTTGTAAAATGGCATCTCTTATCTAAATTTCCATAATTTCACACATAATATTTATTAAAAATCAATTTAAATATGAGTCTTCTCTTAGGTTCACTTAAAACCAGCAGAGGACATGAAGTGCTCTCTTGTACTGAGGTTCATACCTTGGTTTCTTTTTCTTTTGAATTATTGGAGCAATGTTAGAAACATGACAGTGTGGGAACAGCTGGTTTTTGCCTTACATGGTATTGATTTGTAAGAGTAGCAATACTGTAACTGTTCAGCTAATGAAGACATTGATAAAGCATCTTGATAAAGGATGCCATTCTTCTCCCATCTAAACTTGATACTGGCTGTTTTGCTGGGCTGAGCATCCAACCCAAACACTTTGGTTGAGACCACAGAGCTGCCTGTGGGTACCGACAAGGCTGTAACCACCAGTGCTGACTCAGTCACTGCCATGTCAGCTGACATGGAAACTGCTACCCAGCCTTTCCCTCCCACCCCCATTCACATGTTGTTATCTGCCTGTGGACCAGGTTCCCTCAACAGCTCTCTGGCTTCATCCCTATCTCAGTGGGGACCTCTCTTGATAGCCCAGTTTTGGCTCTGAGCTACATCCAGTGCCTACATAGGATAAGTGTAAGATTTCATCCAGATGGAATTTTGAACAACATTTTCTTTTCAACGTTCTTTGCTCCAAGCCCACAGAAGATTGCTTCAGCCCAACAGAACCAAGTCCCATCCTTCAGGCAGCTGAGCCAGTTGCTGTCCTTTGCCTGCAGTGTAATTATTCTGTGGGTTCCACAGAGCAGGCATTGCACCCAGGGCTTCTGCTCTGCACCTGGGATCTGAATGTGCTGCTGACATCAGGACCACACAGTGCCTGACAAAGGTAGATGAAGGCATTAGGAATCTGGACCTTTGTACGTATCATAAATAAACAAATCTTTCTTTTCTTATATTTCACCCTGATAAGAGAAAATGTCTGTGCTCCAGCTCAATGCTGGTGAGTCAAACTCTGTGTGAAGCTTATAAAGTCATGCAAATAGATTATATTACTTTTTCCCACCTTGATTCAGATTATAAATTAATGAGATTTAGTCCACCACTCCTTACTGAGGAATTCTGCAATCATGCTGAGGAAAACTTCCCAGTGAGATTGTTTGCAGGATAAGTCTTTGCCAGCTATTGGAATTACGATCATTGCAGAGACAATAACATTTTCCTGCAACTTACCAAATGCATCACAAATCTGCCTGGCATCTTTGTTAATTGTTTAAAGTGTAGCAGGCAAAGATTATATTCTTAGAATTATAATTGGAAGAATTTATGATCTCTTATGAAATGAAAGTGATTTTGATACTTGAGCAGCACTGGGAGGAACTGTCAGCGTGAAAACTCAAACCAGACCTGTGTGTGTAATATTCTTGTCTCGCAGGAAGTAGTGGGGGTAATACGTGAAAAGAGTTGTTCACAAATCAGGATCCTTAGGAGCTCTCTAGATGACTTTTCCTGCACTTTGTGATATTTTGCAAAAAGAAACTTCCTCTTTCCCCTTCTTGAGCCTTTTTATGACCCAAAGTGTGCACACAAAGCCACGTGTGTAAAAGCTCACACTGGCTGTTCAGCAAAGGATGTAGAGCAGAATCAGGTACCAAACAAAGGTTGGATCAGCTTAGTGGGGAGAAGAACCTGCACCTTAATAGGGATGTGCTGAGCTCCCACCTCAGCCTCAGGGGAGAGTAGTAAAGTGACAAATCCTGTCCTTGTATTATTCCCCAAACACAACCACCCTTGATTTGTACCTGGCCTTTTTCCAGGGCTCTGGGATAGAGGAAATCCTCATGTCCTGCCTCACTCCATAGAGCTGCACGAAGGTCAGCTGCAGTTACTGCTATGTGTATTGTTTGGAATAATGAAGTCTGTGTAACATCATAAATACATGTGCATTATACCTGTTGTGTTCACGGAGCAAAGATGCACCCAGAAATATATGCACCAGTCTGCTCTGTGCACAGAAGACAGATGGTATTTATTCTATATTAAATAATTTTGCATGCAGAGTTTCCTCCCTCTTTAAATATCTTGAGCATCCTTTTTTAGAATCTAAATGTACACATACGGATTCTTTTTGCTTTGACAGCTGATTGATGCATTTTATCTCCAGTCAACATAGGTGGCCTTAGTTGTTCTTGTAAGTGCTATCTTGTGTATCTTCAATCTAAATGTCATTATTATAATTCTTTCTACTTAAATCAAGTAAATCAATTGATTTAATCAATTTAAAGGTGGAAATCAAACAATGGTGCAAACCTTCCTAAAATTTGGAGAATTGATAGGTCACATTTGACAGAATTTGGGTTTGCAGGTGTTGGCTTCACTGGCTATCACCATTTTTAATAGTTTGTTTTTTCTCAGTCACTTCTTTCAGAATAATATTACACATAAGGACGAAATGCAGCCACTGCTGAGATTTTACTGTTCGTTGTAACTTGCTCACAAATTGAGACACGTGGGCTTTGCCATTGTAGTTTTACGCTGGAACATTTCTGCCTTACAACTACAGCCACACACAGACATGGCTAAAAACAAGAAAGCAACAGCACTGTCATGGATATTCAAACCTCATTGCTTTAAGGGATACTCTAAAGGAAACTAGGCCAAAAACTTGACCTATTTTAAAAGACATGGCAATCTGTTCTTTTAAAAAATCTTTCACACTTCATTGAGTCCTTCTCTCTCTTCTATACCATGAAAAATATTGTACAGTAGCAAGATTCAGAATTCCTCTCTCTATACTGTTACCCATACAAATATTGCAAGCTGAAATCTGCAGTTTAACAAATTTATTTTTCTCCATCACTGATCTTGAGAAAGAAATCATCTTAAAAATTACCGAATGCATAAATTGAACTAATTAGGTGTAGCTAACTAATATTGCTACGTCACTGCACTTTCTCCCCAGCGTTAGCTGCAATGTATCCATTTGGCAACCAAGAGGTCTTAGGATCCATAAAGGATTTTTGCTTCTAGGGACTTCCATGTTTCAAAT